TTTTTTCATCCCCTTTTCCCTTCCATCTCTTGGTCCCTTTCCCTTTTCCAAAAGATTTATCTCCCTATTTATTTCCTATTGTCTATCCTTTATTTTGCCTTTACTTAAATATTGGGTTTCTCATGTGAAAGAAACCATGAGATATTTAAGCTTGTATGTCTGATTTATTTCATTTAACATTATGGTCTCAGGGTGCAACCCTTTTCCTACAAATGACTCGGGTTATCCTTCTTTATGGCTGAGCAGTACTCCACTGTTACAGCTTGTGTCTAGATGCACACCCCCCAGCCCCAAAGGCTCATGCAGGCAGAGGTAGGGCTTTTTCAGAGGTGGCTGAATCTAGAATGTGTGATGTGGGGATCACTGACTGGCTTGCCACCTTCCCTAAACTGGATAGCTTAGAAAGAATATACAAGAGGCAGAAAGAAGCTGCTAAGGTCTCCTGGATTTGCTTCTTTGCTACTTTGTTGCTTTGCGACTTTCTGCCTTCCATGAACTGTTTCTCCTCTTAGATCCTGTCTGCCATGCCTCCCTGCCTTGGAGCCAGCTGATTATGGGCTGAAACCTCTCCTTCTTTAACTTTGGATGTCAGGTATTTTGTTTCAGCAACAAGAAAAGTAACTAAGATATCCAATATGTATAAATGCCACTTTTTCTTTATCCAGTCATCTGTTGATGGACATATAAGCTACTTTCAACTCTTAGCTATAATGACTTCTGTAGCTATGAACATGGGTATGCATGTATCACTGTAATATGCTGTCTTTAACTCTTTCAGTAAAATACTGTACCTAGAAGGTGATAGGTCTCCCACCACCTCAGCAGCTATTATGTATAGTAGCTGCCCTCTTCCCTGTGTGACATCATGCCAAGATGGCTGTTCCCACCAAAGAATAAACCCTTCTTCCCAGCATGCCCCTGTTCCTGCCTAGAAAGTAACCTAATACTCGCTCACCTCCTACCACCTAGTGACATCACGGGCTCCTCCATTCCCTAGTCACCACCTCACTCAACCCCACCTCAGCCCCTACAAACCCCACCCCAGTCTCTATAAAAGACTCTCCCTGCCCCGGCCATATTGCTTTTGTCTCTCCTTTGTTCAGAGACAGCCCGGCAGATCTATTCCCCTAATAAAGTCTTGTTGTGGCCTCGTCTGGTCTTGGTCTTCGGCCCTTTTACCTGACAGAAGGGAAATAGATCAGTCAAATTGAAATTCTATTTTCAGATTTTGAGGAATCTCCACACTGATTTTCATGGTGGTTGCACTAGTCTGCATTTTCATCAACAGTGTAAAAGGGTTCTTTCTCCCAATAGCCTGACTAGTATTTTTTATTATGTGATTTCTTGATGATAGCCATACTTTCTGGAGTAAGGTAGAAACTCGGTGTTGTTTTAATTTGCAATTTCTAATGGCCAGAGATGTTAAACATTGTTTTATGTATTTGTTGGCCATTTATACTTCTTCTGAGAAATGTCTACTTACTTCAGTTGCTCTTTTGATTGGGTCTTTTATCTAGGGAGCTCTAACTTCTTTTTAGTTCTTTATGTATCTTAGATACTAGGTCTCTGTCCAAGGAAGGGCTGGCGAATTTTTTTTTCCCATTCTGTAGATTCTCTCTTCACTGCTGGTTGTTTCCTTTGCTGCACAGAAGCTTTTTAACTTGTTAAGATTCCATTTGTTGATTCTTGGTCCTATTTCTTGTACAACTGGTGTTCTGTACAGAAAGTCCTTGCCTACACCACTATCATCAAGAGTTATTTTATCCTCCAGAAGTTTGTTTTAATCTTGTGATCTCTGATCCATTTTGACTTCAATTTAGTGCATGATGAGAGACATAGGTGTAGAATTAATTTTCTGTGTGTAAATAGGCAGTTTTCCCAGCTCCACTTGTTAGAGGCTATCGTTCTTCCAGTATATTTTCTTGGCACCTTTGTCAAATATCAAATAGCTGAATGTGCCAGGAGTTGTTTTTGCATCCTCTATTCTATTCCCTTAATCCACAGGTCTGTTTTTGTGATAATACCATGCTGTTTTTATTACTGTAGCTTTGTAGTATAACTTGAAGTCTGGGATTGTGATGCATCCTGCCTTGCTCTTTGTGCTCAAGACTGCTTTTGCAGTCTTGTCTTTGTCTCTTCTGGCTCCAAATAAATTTTTAGGATTGTTTAGTTCTGTGATAACTTCTATTGGTATTTGATTGGGACTCTGTTAAAACTGTATTATTTGTTTTGCGAGTACGGCCAGTTTGACAATATTGGTTTTGCCTATTCAGGAACAGGGATTCCATTTTCTGATGCCCTCTTCAATCTCCTTTTACAGAGTACTGCAGTTCTCATTGCAGAGGTAGGATTAACTTCTAAGTGTTTAATTTTTCTTGATGCAATTGTGAATGGCATTGTTTTCCTAATTTCTTTCCCAGTGAGTTCATTAGTGGTCTACAGAAATGCTGGTAATTTTTGTGTGTTGATTTTGTATCCAGCTAAGCTACTGAATTTGGTTAATTATAAGAGTCTTGATGGAATTTTTGGGGTCTACTGTGTAGAGGATTATGGCAACTGCAAGTAAGGATAATCTGACTTTTCTCTCCTATATATATCCCTTTTATTTCTTTCTCTAGTCTGATTGCTCTGGCCAATTTTTCAAGAATGTATCAAACAGGAGTGGTGATAGCAGACATCCTTCCCTTGTTCCTGATTTTACAGGAAAAACTTTCAACTTCTCCCCATTTTATAAGATATCAGCTGTTGGTTGTCATAAACGGTTTTTATCAGATTGAAATAAGGTCCTCCTATCTATTTTCTTCAGGATTTTTTATCATGACCAGATGTTGGTTTTTTCCCCCCAAAGGCTTTTTCTAGGGCTATTTAGATAATCATGTGATTTTTGTCCTTACTTCTGTTTATGTGATGTATCACATTTAGAATTTTGCATAGGTTGAATCATCCCTGCATCCCTGGATGCAGTCTACTTGATCATGATGTACGATCTTTTTAATGGTTTGTTGCATTCTGTTTGCTAGTATCTTTTTGAGAATTTTTGTGTCTAAATTAATTAATAACACTGGCCTGCACTTCTCTTTTTTTGGTTGGACCTTGTCTGGTTTTAGAATCAGGGTAATGTTAATTTCCAGGGACTTCCCTTTCAATTTCACTACAGAATCTGAGGAGTATTAGCGTTAGGTCCTCCTTCTAGTTCTTGTAGAATATAGAGGTGAATCCACTAGGATCTGGGTTTTTCTCAGTTGGTGGGTTTTTTTAATTACTGTTTCAATTTCATTGGATTATTCAGGTTTTTATATATCCTTGGTTCAGTTTTGGGAATTCATATGTACCTGGGAAAAGTTAGATTCATGATAAAGAACTACATTAAATATGGAATGGAGTTCAAACTGGGCGAGGCAGAGGCTTGGTAAGGGTACTAGGAATTGTCCTACTTAAGCTGATCACACTGGATTTGTGTCCTATCTGGGCACAGCCCTTTAAGTACTTAATTCTAATCTAATTCTTCCTGATGTACTATTGCATTTCCATGTTGCTTCTGCTTTTCTATAAACTTGTGAAACCATCCATCCTCAAATCGTCCATCCAGTGTTTTCCGGTATGAGACATGGTAGCCTGCTCATCATAGGTAATACTCACAAAATTCACATTGCTGAGTTACATGGAAAAACCTCTCAACTCTTCCTCTTAAGTATAGTGGTACCTCAGTTCATGAACGCTTTTGTTTGCAAACAAATTGGTTCACAAACAGAAGCATTTGGCAAAACTTTGTTTTGGCTGGCAAACTTCCGAGGGTGACAAACATGACCATCTTTTCCACACAAACACAGCCATCTTTTCCAAAATTGTAGAACAAATTAAATTCGTGAACTGAGATATCACTGTATTTATTTTCACGTATATTCCTGACACTATGTGGTAAGTAATATAATCACTGATGATAGTGCTGAGTTCTTCCTTCGAAAAGATATTTACCTAACAGAAAAAGGAGACAATTTAAGTGAAAGTAGTTAAGTAAATAAAAAAATAGGGATATGAAACTCAAAAGTAATGGTTATTGTGAATTACTGAGGTTTATGAAACTGTGATGTCATGTATTATTTCCAAATTTGATTTGTACAGCTAGAGAATTGTATTAAATATCACATGGCTTATCTTATATGAGAAATCCAAAATATAAATAGAGAACAAAACAAAAGATAATAGGAAGTAGGGAGATCTTTTTCAAATGGAAAAGAGAAATGGGAAGAGATGGAATAAAACGAAAAAAAGAAATGGAAATAAAGCTTTTGTTAATGGGATGGGGCTAAGAGGTAGAAGGAGCGGGTAAGGATGAGAAGGGTAGGCAAGGAAAAAATAATTAAGATTTGTTATGTCCATGTACAAACTCCCCACAATAAATGTAATCATTATGCACTGCAATCATGTACTAATAAAAACAATTATGAACTAGATAAAAATTCTGAAAGTAAATTCTAACTGGCTAAAACTACTTTCTTTTACATCATTAAAGACCACATTTTAGAAAGCTCTCCAATGCTTTTTGTAAATAGCAATATAAGATCATCTTCTACACATACATACTAAATCATAATTCTAGCTTTCTTTAAAAGAACTTGATATTTCAATATAAATATTTAAGTCTCCCATGCCTGCCTTGCAAGCACAAGGTCCCAAGTTCAATCCCCGGTACCCCGCCCCCCCAAATAAATAAATAAATAAATAAGTCTTTAAGTCGACGGAATAGTCTAAAATTTTTCAAGAGGAAAATGGTATAACCTATTGAATCACAATATTTGCATTTTTCTATGAAAACATAAAAAATATAATAACAAAATATAATAACAAATATAATAACAAAACTCTGATCTAGTTCTAGGGGAAAACTACTAGGACATATGTAAGCTATTTCAAGTCTTTACAAGCCAATGAACATAAAGAATGCAACCCGCCTTCAAAGAAGAAACCCACATGTCTGAGTCCAAAATACCAGGCCTTACCAAGGGCTGCTGGGGCTGCATTGCTTGGAGACCAAGGGTCTGATTCTGGGGTTGTGAGGACTGCTGGGGCTGGGGAGGCTGCTGAGGCTGTGGGGGCTGCGGTGGCTGCTGGATCTGCAAAAGAAGAAAAAAGATCACAGCCTTAAAGAAAGGGGGTTAGTATTACCTTGGAAGTTCTTTCTCCCATATCTTTTCTCTAATTCTGTTGCACCAAAAATGTGTCATTTTAACAACTGGCTTACTTTCTGAGAAATGTGTCAGTAGGTGATTTTGTCATTGTCTGAATACCATACTGTACACTTACACAAACCTCAATGATATAGCCAACTACACATCTAGGCTTCATGGTTTGTGGAAGTGCATACTCATGTGTGTGTGCATGAACATGTGCCAAAATTACATGAGATTAACTCAAGCACAAGAGAAATACAAGATGTATATGTCTGCTGATGAGGAAACACAATAAACTGTTTTAAATAAACATTTTTTTGAAATAAAAGGAGTGCATTCTAATGTCATAGAAAGTATAGTAAGGAAAAACATAAACCAGAAACACAGTTATTTATGATCATTTTTATTGTATTGTGCACTGAACATAGATGTACAAGTTATACTTTTGTGTGACTGGCTCTGCAGTAGGTCTGTATGCACCAGCATCATCACAAACATTTTTGTGTTGTGTTGATGATAATGAAGGCTATGATCTCACTAGGGTATAGACGATTTTCGGCTCTAGTATAATCTCATGAGACCACAGTGGTATATGCAATCGGTCACTGACCAAAACATCATTTTGTGGACCTGCCTCTTCCACTTTTCCCTTGCCAAACCTCCTTCATCCTTTAAGAATAAGACCTAAACCTGTTTTTCCAGAAAGCCTGCTCAGGTCACTCTGACACCAAGACCTCTTCCTTTGGGGTCAGTGTTCACCATCTATATCATTTTACACTGTCTGGGGATATCTTTTTTAAGTACTGTTTTAACTTCCTTCACATCATTTGCCCTTCCTGTCTATCTGACCAGGTTAGATGAGCACTGCTCAGTAATTATTTTATTCTCTGTGACACTGGAGGTACCTTTTAGGAATTAATTTTTATTCTTTGAAGATATAGATTAGCTCCCATGAGAAGTTGTGAAATAAATTAACAGCATAAAACTAGAAATAATGTCAGAAACAAAATTGGATCAAATATACAGCTCTTGGGAAACACTTCCAAGTCACAGAAAAAACAAACTAGATATTCACCAGGCGGGACATAGACAAGAGGAAAATATAAATAATTGCTATCTCCCAATCACCTTTAAAGCTTCTTCCATATAAATACTTCATCCTTGAGTTATCAACCCAAGATTTTTTTTATCCTTTACATTTTTCCAACTTGGTTTGGAGAATATTCCCCAAATTATGTCTTCTTTAGAGCAAGGCGCTAAATAGCTACTACTAAACAGCATTTCTAAGTGACTCTGCTCATGGATAGGGATTCCTGTCAAGAGATCTGAGTAGGGTTACTCCCAACATGAATAATAAAAAGTTGAACCAGAAAGACATTATTGCAGCTTGACACCAACTATCCATTTGGTGCTCTGCTAACTCTAAGAAAGACGAACCCAACTTAATAATCATACACTTTTTTCTTTATGGAGGCAGCCAGTGACCAAAAGGGATTAAGTGTAATTCAGACTCAGGAACAAATCACTTTTTCATATTTCCAAGGAATCTACTGTTGATAAGAAAAATTACCAAAAGAGCATACTATGCCATTAGGGATAAAAATAAATACTACTCAATAAGGAAAGGTTTTCCATATTTACATCCTTGAAAAAAAAGCCACTGTAAGATAAGGGTAAATAAACAACATAGTAACTTTCCTCAGTGTTTTGGAAGTGAGAGATTTTAAAATGAAGGGAAACACAAATAGTAGCTCTAAAACAAATTCAGAAACATATATCCTCAGAAGTTGGGAAAAATGATGATTTAAGAAAATACCACTATTAATGGTCATATTAATGAAAAGATCAATAGTAACATTACCAAATTAACACTTTACTTGGATTTTCATATTTAAACATTGCTACACATTTAAGAGGTAGGTATTAAATTATTTCCATTTTATTGATTACAAAGTGAAGAACAGAGTTTTTAGCACCTTGGAAATGACTTCTGTACAATGAATGAGATTGGCCATACTTCCAGAAACCAATTACCAGCTATTATGAGTGTTGTGATACAAATTTTAAAACATTTTATCAGGTCAAAAATTAGGATGCAACTGGCATCTTACAACTAATGACATCATGTGAAACTCAGTTCTACAGAGGATTTGTGTTGGCTTCTGCTTATCACACACTGTTACTATCATCCAGAATTTTGGAGATCAGGCTAGATTCATACCTCAAATCACTTGAGCTTATGGTCACAACTTCCTTCTACTCAAAGCTGAGACACAGAAATCCCTTTGCTATTTCTTCCTGCAGGACAGATTTCTTTCCCACTGATCTCATACCCAGGGTATAGTTCATGGGTACCCCAGCTCACTAAGCTTCCTATTTTCTTTCCTTTTTTGCTGTTTTGGTGATTGAAGCCAGGGCCTTCTCACTGGGTTACATCCTTGGCACTTTTTATTATATTTCATTTTGAGACAAGGTCTTGCTAAGTTAAATTGCCCATTTACATCAAATAAGTAAATGATAGTTCTCTGGATTCTAAAACAGACAAGAATAATATGCCTTTGAATTATCCTCCCTATGTTGCTCCAATTTCATAGTCACTTTTTTGGATTATAGACTTCTAGAAAACTGGTGAAAGCCTTGGAAGTTCAGGAGCTTTTTGGTCTGCATGCATGTTTTGTGCATATGAAATTCTCCACTCAAACTGAAGGCACCTAGTTGAACAGCATCTGGGCAAGCTGAGACCTACTATTAAAATAAAGGCATCCATATGATCCCCTGAATCTGTGAAAGAGGAAGGAAGCTCTGCAAAATGTCCTCTCCTATCCATGACCTGGCAGATGCACAATAAAGGAGAACTTTTGCCAAGTTTGAACTAAGTTGCACCAGTTCAGCTACTAGTGTCAAAGATACAGGGCTCCTTGGACTAGGCAATTAAAATCTAATGGATTTTTATTTTGTAAGACTGTTGCACATTTGCAGTGTTTGAAGGGTGACCCACAGCTCACATATTCCTGCCCCCTACCTGGAGGAGTCTCTGCTGCTGTCGAGGTTGTGGCTGTCTGGGTCTCATGGGGTCCTGAGGCAGGGACACCACGAGGTTTGGATGTGCAGAAGGCAGAACAGCATCAATTCCCCCAGCCACCAGAGGGCTCTGCTGTAAAGCCTGATGGTTCAGTCTGTTGAAGAATAATGCAACCTGTTTTCAGACCCATGTGTACCAACAAATTTTTAATCAGTGCCACTAGCACATTACATTCATCCACAAAGAAAATATACGTGTCCAATAACTACTTGTACAATTCAAATGAGACAAAGACCAAGAGTAAAATAAGAGATGCAACCACATGATAAAAAGGTCAACAAGCACTCTATTTAAGGCAAAATCGCAATCATATATAAATTACTTATTAAAAATTAAATAGGTTTTAATAATAAGTGACATTAACTGAACATTTACTTTGGAGCAAGCACTGTGCTAAAGGTCTGAAATGTATTATTTCATTTACAGTCCTCTGAGATCAGCACTTTTGTTATCCTAACTTTAAAAATGAGAGAACAGAGACAAAGAAGTAATTTAACTAGGTTACTCAAAACACAAAGGGCATAGGTGGGATGCGATCCTAGAGTTTTCAAGCTATGAAGTTTAAGCTCTTAGGCTATGCTATGCAGCAACTTATTATAAAAATAGTAAATACAGTGAATATTTTCCAAATTAATTTATTTTCCCTAACTCTCCAGTGATTACCTGGAGTTGACATGAACCCACTGATGGTGTACATGGGAGCCATCCAGCTGTCCACTATGCTGCAAAAGTCTGCATGACCCTTAGTCTTTAAGGACAATACTATCCAATAGCTTTTCCTATGATGACTAAACTGATTTCTGTCACTGCTTTCCAAGAGGACAGCCAACAGCCATCATGGCTACTTATATCATTTTCAGGTATAGGTGTAAAACAAAAATGCAGGGCTCCCTCATCAAAAATCAGTAAGAATATCAAGAAATAACAAAACATCAAGCCAAGAATGGGCCCCTTATAAACATAGAGCCCTGTGTGACTACACAGGCCACAGTTTCAAAGCTGGCCCTTTTGGCCATGTTTGGCCACTAAATACTTGAAATGTGACTAGGGTAATGGAGAAACCAAAGATTTAATACAATTTAATAAGTCTAAATTTAAATAGCCACATTGGATTGTAGCTACAGTAATGGGCAGCACAGTTATACCCTAAGTCTAAGGAATCTAATTAAAACAGGAGCCAAAAAGAGTTTATTATGATCCTGTTTTACTACTCATCCCTGAGGAGAAAAAGGCAGAAACTAAGTTTTAGCAAAATTTTTATATTATGCACAATTAGTATTGAAATTAAATATTATGACACTTATCTACAAATTGTAAGAAGGCACTGCTAAAAATGGTCAAGTTTTTCTCTTAGATGGTTTAGTTAAAAAAAGAGAAAAGACATAAGAAAAGATAGTATATTAAGAGTTCACATTCTAATATCATCTAAAAATATTATGTCTATACCATGGAAGAAGTGGGTCAAAACTACAGGGCCTTAAATAAAATAGACAAGATGAGATATTCTTTATTTTGAATCTTTCCCTGCATCCTACTAAAAATGAGAAGCCAGAATATAAAGTATACGCAAATATATAAGATCATAGAAATCCCTTATATCACTAATATACCATGGCCTAGGAGAAGTATAACAATATATCAGAATGTGAGTGTTCACTATTGCAATCATTATTTCTATTGGTATCACCTCTGAGAACTCGTCAAGGGCTGCAGGTACGGAGAGGCCTGCTGCTGCACATAGCCGCTTGGCTGCTGCTGAATCTGTCTGAGTCTCTCCATTAGCGCAGGGCTGGAATGTGCAGCCGGGTAGACCCTGGAGTTGTAGCTGGGAGACAGGACCACACCACCAGCCTGTTGCTGTGCTGTTTGTTGCAAAGGCATCTGTGTTCCATACATCGTATACCCCTGGGGCATGGTCTGCAGGGAGGCACAAGGGAGAAAGTCAGAGCTCCATTTCATCACCCAGATTTCACTAACATACATTGGGCCGATGCAAACACATGAGGACCTCTGTGAAATTTTTCAAAGACCCTTCTGCCTCAAAATATAAAAAAGACTTCTGTACTGAAGGCAGGCAGTCTACCAAGAAAGCTATAGAATGAACTGGTTGTATAATGATTCACCAGAAATTTCAATTTAAAAATAAATGAATTCTCATTTGGTTAAACTGGCTTTTAAGATCAGCTGCTTATTTTGGGGAAAGGGAAGCCTATGTTTCTGTACAGAAATAATTAATATACAGATGACATCAATGTTCAACAGATCCCAAACATCATTAATATCACTACTAAAATTACTCAAAAAGGTATCCATGCTCAATATAAATTAAAAATATAGTTTCCCAATATATAACTACATCTTTAAGTCTGATGGATGTGTCAGTAGTTACTAATCAGTTATAAAACAAAACAACCATTAACAGCAGGAAGGATGCTATTAATAGCAGGAACAACTGATGACTGTTCAATGCCCTCTTGAGTTGCTTAGACCACTGCTCCTTTCAGTACTCTACCATTAATAACTGGAACACTTAATTTTTTCTAGTCAATATTAATATACAAGTAAGGTACTTATTTCTCTAAAGCTTGACACCTTATGTAAAAAAAAAACAAAACCCTGAGGTCCTATTGGATCATAAGATACAATTTATATAACAGAATGCTGATTAAAGTAGAGCACTATTGAAACCTCAAAGCACCACACCTTAAGGTCATTTTGTGCCTCTGACTTTTTTTTTTTTTTTTTTTGAGACAGGGTCATGCTATGTAGTTCAGGCTGGCCTTGAACTCACTGTGTAGCCCAGGCTGGCCTTAAACTCTCAGGATCCTCCTGCCTCCCAAGTGCTGGGATTACAGGTGTGCGCCACCATGCCCAGCTTTATGCCTCTGACTTGGAAGACAGAGTAAATATAATGAACTTCCAGCAGACAGCACGAATTGTTCCAGACTGAAGGCCTCTGTGCCTGGGAGACCAAACATGATTTAATTTCAGCTGTGGACCCAAAATGAACTGACAGCCCCATAGGAGTCTTGCTAACAACACAGAGGTCCTGACTATGAGAAGAAAGGGTTAAGAGTATATGGATGCAGAAATAACAAAATTATGAGTTGTTGAAGATTCACATTATATTAAGGCAAGTATATAATTTGCTGAGAATTTACTGTGTACATGGTGCTATGCTAATTCCACGGGTTGTCTTAAACCTTCACATCCTTTACCTTAGTTTGCAGACAAGAAAACCAAACCTCAGAATAACATCTGCCATTATTATTATATCGTTAAAAATTATTTACATTTTTAATTCAAGATTCTTTGAAATGACAATTATGATCTATAAGGAGAAGTAACTAAGGTCTAGATCTGATAGGGAGTTGCTATCTGATTTATTGGTTTTTCTACTTCAAACAAAGAGCATTAAAAAACTCCTGCAGCAACTAGGAAGCAAATGTTGGTACCTGTGCTTGCTGCAGCCCTGGATACTGGGGGAGTTGAGGGGAGGGTCTAGCTTGTGCAGCAAAGAGAGCAGCCTGGTCCCCTGGCTGGCCCTGGAAAACAAAGCCGACGTAAACTCTTGATCATTGCAGTTACATGTCTGAGTTGAGCTTCTGGTCATTAATCCAAATAAACCAAGACATCAAGTCTCACTACAGGAATACAGAACTCACAGACTTTCAAACTGCACTAGACTAGTTCTCATCAATTTCCTATGTATGTATAGAGTACTGAATTTTTCTTCTTGGAAGACTGCAGATGCTCCCAAAGATAACACAGACATAAACAGAATCCTAAGTTACCAAGAGGCCGTACAGCAGAGAGGCTCTCTGAGTCTCTCAGTGTGAAATCTGGAACCACAGGGCTGTACCACCCAGTGCCTCTACAGGGAAAAAACTGGTATATGCAAATGGCATATAAAAATTTCATGACTTCTTAATGAGGTTTCTTCACAGCGACCTAAAAATTGCCTATTTAGGCATGTATTCAAAGGAAAAATTTGGTACCTAGTATGACTCTAATAATATCAGAGAAGCGGTGGTGAACCTATGGCAATGTGCTGTAGATGGTTGGTTGTTGTCACTGAAAGCTCTAAAAGGTTTGCCATCACTGAATTAGACTACAGTCAATAAAAAGACTATAAGTCAATAGCAAATAAAATTCTAACTAAGTACATGTAAAATAACACCAATTAATATCTTTCATCAAGCTTAATACATGTTTTAGACATAGGAAAATAAATATATTGATAAGAACAGTGATACACAGTTTTATGTTTTGATGGCAGAAGTTATTTTAAGGAAGCCTGCAGCAATAATTATAGGAAACACCTAGCTTCCTACTATCTGTGGGTTTTTGCAGAACTTATTTTAAATGTTATTTTAAAATGTGTTAAATTATAGTTAGATAAAACATTTTAATGTGTTTGGGAAGTAATGTACGTATTCTGAGCAAGGAGAAAGGGAGAAACATTTAGCTTAAGAGGACGTACACCAACATCATTAACAATGCAATGTATGCCTGTATGTGGGCTTTTCTTTCTAATACCCATTTTCTCAAAAGAGTTCTCCAGGGAAAAGAACCTTCCCCATGTTCTTCAGACAGGAAAGCCAGGCTCAAAGAGCCTAAGGAGTGTGGCAAGCTCACTCAGCCAGTCTGTAGAGCCATGATCTCAACTCCAGGGAGTCTGACTCCACAGCCCAGAGCTTCTTCTGTTGAGAAGAGATGCCTCCATATGTAATATTAAAGACAAAAATATTTTAAGTACTCACTGGATGCTTATTCTTTAAAGACTTACAGTCTCGGGCTGGGGATTTAGCTCAGTGGTTCAGTGGTTTCGCTGCCTGCTGTGCAAGCGCAAGGACCCAAGTTCGATCCCCAGTACCAAAAAAAAAAAAAAAAAAAAGACTTACAGCCTCTTAAAATCACCCCGATAAGAAACCTAAGGGAGAGCCTCTATTAAGACTTGTTAAGTATACTGCAACCTAATTTATAAACCACATGGGTCACTGGGGATCATTGATAAAACTGCAACCTCTCCTAAGGTGATTATCTATCTATAGATCAGTAAAACACAAATTTCTATGTGTACCTACTCTGGTATCTGTTCATGACAGCTTCAACAACAATCTAAATTTCCAGAATAGGGTTACATGAAGATATACTCATTAATCTGTTAAATACTATTTCCAGATGATTGGGTCTAAGAAAAATAGCCCAAATTCCTTGTGTGGTCACAGGGACCCTAAATCTATTCTGCTCAAGGTATCCAAAAGGTTCTTAATCATCCAAAACTGATCACCGGAAACATTAAATCAACCAGATCTTTAAATGTCACTTTTTAAATCAATTCTTCTTGACATTAACTTCCTATAAGGTCCCTGAGACATATTTTTGTGCTTACCTGTGGGAACAAATACATGTATATTAAAAAAATACATGTATATAATCATTTTTACACAACAGAAGAAAGCTGAACTACTCATATGTGAGTTAGAATATTGGGATCAACAGGTAATCTGTAATTCACATGCCCTGTTTGAGCTTTGAGGGAAACAGGTTGTGATCTGTATGTGACAAATGCATATAAATACATAAAACAGATCTCTTCTAACTCTACTCCCCCTTTGCTTACTGAAGAACCTTGTGGAATATACTAAAACTTACATGGTGTGTGTGTGTAGGGGAGTAGAATACTAGGAATAAGATATATTTGAGCTACTGGGAACACTTATTGACAATGCTTTAAGATCACAGAAATTTAAGAAATATAAACTAAAACTTATTTTTCTACATAAAATACCACAAAAACTAACATTCAAGGAAAGGGACTATAATTTTAAAAGAAACAAGGAGAAAGGAAAAAAATTGAGATACAATTTTGACATGCTAAAATTCACCTTTAGATACTATGTGGACATACTATGTTCCCTCCCAACTGTCAGTTTTTCCTAATATATTAAATACCATAGGAAGTAACTGAGATATGCAATATTCACCCTGAGAAAATCACAAACATTCCAAGGTGGTTAGCACTCTCCAAGTTCTCTATGAAAAGTCTTGTCATCGTGGCTTGTCCTGAAAGGAAAATACCCTTATCTTTCCTACAAGCCTCAAACAGATTCCTACTTTTGCTTCTCCAGAATAATGCCGGGAACACATTATATCAATTTTTAAAAATAATTCAACTTGTTGGGGAAAAAATAAGTTATTTAAAAACTTGAAAGAGTTTTAAATATTCAAGGACCACAATGTAGGAATGAGTAGAAAAAACTAAACACTGAGAATTGGAGATTTTTTAGTATTGGAGTATTTTTAGTAGGGCACAGTTTTGGTTGTGTTAAACCATGAATATACTATATAATGTATCATCCAAACTGGATAGACCAGGACAACAGAAAAACGTGAGACTGTGCCCAGCAAATAGGGCACATAGTCACTTTGGTTATCTGTTATTTTCTGAAAACATATTAAGGTTCACTAATTTTCTTAATTTTGAGGAAGGGCTTTGCATAGTTGTCCAGGTTGGCTTTGAGTTTCTGATCCTCCTGCCGCAGCTTCCTGAATAGATGAGATTATAGGCATGAGTTATAGTTCCAGTTATTTATTTTTTTATCAGTTTCTAGCACCAGTGTCTGCACAGAGTAAATGCTCAGTAATTTAAAGATCCAGAGGTAAACTAGGATTTATATTTCAGCATAGGGCCAGAGATTTAGCTCAGTGGTTCCGCCACCCGCCTCACAAGCATAAGGTCCTGAGTTCGATCCCCGGTACCAAAAAAAAAGTATATTTCAGCATAAATGACTTTACCAAGGGATTTCCAATTGCTTTGTAGTTTCCACCACTACCTTTTGTTTTGAAAACTCATTTAATGTTAGCATCTATCATGCTAATGATTTCTTTCTGCCTGCACTAATGTCTGGAAAGTTACTCAATTTCTCTTTCTTTATTCTGCTTGAAATAATGAAAAACAACATTAAGTTTATATCTTTATAAATGGAAAAAGGACAGTACGAGTAAGGCATCTTCCCCTACTCCCCCAGTACTGGGATCATAGGTGTGTGCCAACAGTCCTCGCTAGAGCTGGTTTTTGATGGAATATTTGTGTCTAGCCAAGTCCCATATGACTTCAAGCATATTAGCATATTACTAGGGGAGAATGTAAGACATCTGCGCCCCTGCTGGAGCTCTTGTGGCTCAGATATCTAGTTTATATACAGTAAGGAAATGATTTCCAGACAAATGGGAAATTCTAATGGTCAGACAAGCTGTTCTCTACTTTGCTACCTGAGTTAATTCTCACACGTCATTTTCATGCATTTTGCTTTAGGTTTGCCTCTATATACGAAATGTAAATAAATCTAAAATTTTCACTTTCTAAAAACTCCTAATGAAACTGTGCTGTTCAGCATTGAGTCATCTTCCTACCTTTCACAGGACAATTCTCTTTCTTGTTGCGGTATTTTAAATGAGACGGGAGAAGTAGGTATGGTCAAAGAGATGCTGACTTAGAAGCCTTTTACAACATTTGAATCTATGCCTCCAGTAAGTTTAAAATTTTTGATAAATCATCCTCAAACATCATTTTTATTTTTGGGGGATCCTGTTTTGTCTATATTAGAAACTAATCCCTCAATTAACTGAGCACATATCTATTTCTAAAAAAAAGGACTGGTTATACTTTTAATTAGCAGTCAGTATGCATTATAAGCAGCAACATTTCACAATCAGGAAGTTTCCTATATGTACATTCAATTTACTAGTAGTTATTTCTTCAAATTCTTAATTAGTAACTTGCAATGGTTTTAAAGGTTGTAAAGAGATAAGTTTGTATCTGGAAAACCACAGCCACATTTTGTAACTGTTTCTGAAAATTCTGATTTTGGAAAATTTATAAGTGAAATATTCACACAATGAAAATCAGTAGGTAATATTTTATGAGTCACCTAGTAGAAAGGGTTTTGTTTATAACTCCTAGTCTGAAGTTTACTGAGTAGTGGTGCCCAAGGCTCAACAACACACAGTGTAAATGAGAAGCTATGGTCATCATGTCATACTAGCTAGTTTTGGTTGCAGACAACAGACACAGAAAAAATTCTGTAACTGTAAGAGGTTTGTTGATCACTTATATTTAATATTTTTTAATGTTTCACTTCAAATAAAAGTTGGTCGGAAATCATTTAATGCTAAATGCTAGAACATCCTGATTTATTCTAAAATAAACAAATCTCCCAAAACAATGAATCTTTATACTTTAATAACATGTCCATAAATTATGAATGTAACAACTATAAATATTGAAGTATATATTCATTAAATTCCTAATATAAGTATTTATTCATTAAATTCCTACAGTATATATTCATTAAATTCCTAAAATGGGATGATGAATGTAACAACTGGCTGGCTAAACATATTCATTTAATTCTTAATGTGAGAGAATATTAAAAAATAAGAAATGTAAAAAGGATAGCAAAGACATTTCTACTAATTTGAATGAATTTTTAAAAATCACAGAACCTTCTTTTGACTTTAAATATTTAATAAAATATTTTGTCTGCAGGCATACTTTTTTAGACAAAAGTAAATGACTGGTGCAAGTTGTTTTCCTCTGAATGACATTATTACCTGAATGCCCTACAAAAAAATGTTATCTCCAAAATATTTTTAAATTGTCATCTAATTCAAGTTTTTAAATAAAAAATCTCACTTGCTCTGTAATATGCCATAAAATGTCAAGAAAAATTGAGTATTTTCCGTTAAGTTTCCGAACTTTGATCTACTGAGATAACTTTTGGAAAAACTGCCTATATAACAAGTATTTAATAAGCAATGTATTTTTAAAGTTTGAATATACAGTGAAGGATATGTTCATGAAAGTATAAATAACGTTACCCCTTAAAATGTCAGTGAAACAAGTTGACTTACATTCACATCTGAGATGTGTGCTCTTTTTTATTCTAATGCTCCTTGGGTTTATGTTGTGAGTTGGCTACCTGATACAGAAACCTATAAGTAATTTAATGCAAAACATGCATTCTTAGCTAGCCCAGGCAAAGCAATATAGGTGAAGTCTCATAACATGCATGCACAAGACCTATGCTCAAAAGGAAAAAAAAAAACTTCTCCATACTGGAAAGGAAAAAGAGATGATGCATTTGTTAAGAATTTGGGAATAGCCAGTGAGTGGGATGTGATGAGGAGGGTGTATTTCATAACAATCACAGTTTTCATTATCTTGCATTGGCCTATAAATCAGCATGCCATGCGTTCTTCTACTGATGATGTAAATTACCACAGAGAGAAGCAAGAGCTCAGGAATAGATGGGTTCAAAACTGGGACTGAAATGAAGGTGCACAAACTGGTCTATGCTCTCATGACATTTATTGGTATTTATACCATACATGAATATAATGAAAATCATAAAGTGATCACAGAGGAAAACTTTCAGAAAAAAAATTCCATTAAGTTGAACATGGTCAATGCATTCATAATTCTGCATTATAGTCTCAAACATAAACCAAGTAACGGTGAAATGAATATTGTAACTATTACCAGTTATAAGAAGAAAAAAAAAATCACTTCTCATTCTGATGTTCAAATGATAATGCTATAAAGATTTACTTTAAAAAAAAGGGAGGAAAAAAAAGAAAAAGGAATGCCAGCAGGGGTGTTACCATTATGTTGTCAAAGTCTTCCAGAAGGGAGACAGCAGAGCTACAGAAGTCCTATAGAAAGGGGACAGCAAGAAAACGGCAGACAACACAGATAAGATTTTTTTAGCCTAATGATGTGGGAAGCCAAAATACATATGAAATATTTCACTTTAAAACAATGTTTTAGGGAGTCAAGACCCAGGCCCTATAGATTAATCTCTATGTCAAATGACCTACAGGTTAGGGGTTAGGGCATTAATAAATAATATGGTTATATTTATATAACTCTATTCCTATACTGTAATGGAACAGCACAACTTGAAAGTAAGATGGTGATATAAAAAAAAAGAAGTAGGGAAGTATCAGACACAGACCCTCACTAAAACTAAGTAAGAACACTTGGGGACCAGATTCCTTCACAGCTAAAATCCTCTGGAGCACATTAATTAATGTAGGTCCCATTAAACAGACAGGATAGTAAGTGAACAAATCAACAGGTCATAAGTTGTTGGAAGACACAATTAGATAGTTCCATGGCCAGTAAATGCAAGTGAACACAGAGCATCAGGCTAACCACACATTTAATTGACCACAACAGACAACAAATATAAATAAATTTATAGTGCTATCACTGTTTACACATGCACAGGAAACATGATTTGGAAAACACAATGAATACCTGAGGCGGGGTGCTACTTCACAGGTAAATGATTCACTTGTTTAACCATTTTTATAACTGGATTCCAAGGGATACAGTGACTGAAATATCAAAAATCTCCCTGAGCTCACTGAGTTTGGAGTTAGACATAAAGCCAAGCATTTTCAGAAAAAGTGTTTTACTATGCTAAGGATTGGAAAATATAGGAAGAATTTTCTGAGCAAATAATAACTATTTTCACCATTTTTGTTATAGGTACATAATTCATCAACTTTGTACATTCATGTTTATTTTATTATACTCTATCTGTATTCTTGAAATACATCATTAAAGAGTGAGTGGGAGGGAAAGAGGAAAAGAAAGAAAAGCAACATAATCCAAAATGGTAACATATCCTTAGGGTATCAGTCACTGAACCAAGGCTGTTTGCTCAACTTAAATGTGCCTCATCAACTCAAAAGGCCTATTTTCATGAAGTCACAGATACTCTTTTGCCAACAAGCTACCAGTTCAGGGAGGTTCTGGCTCAATAGTCCTTCCTTCCTTTAATTACCTAATTCCTTCATTTGGACATAAAAACGATGAGACCTGCTCCATAGTTGACAACCTAATCTGCTTACAAGTTCCTACTAGCTATAAGTGGGCATTTCTGCCCTCTGTCAGAAATCTTCCCTTTACTTTCATGAAAATCCAAGTTACCAGTAGCTTGTACCCAACTGCTTTCTTCCAAAGCTGTCTCAATATATTTAAGCTACACACTTATTTTTTGTCTATCTTCTCTTAGATTCTTAAATGGTTTGGCACTAATTACTACAAACAATAGCAAAATATTTTCATGTACGGAGAGAGAGAAATCAAGACAAAATGCCACCACCAATCAAGGTGTAAAATAAAGCTCCTTTCCTGTATCAAAACTTGAGATTCTTTCTGAAAGCCCTTTCCTTAAATGATTGATATTGTAGAGGTAGGGAAGAAAGTTCCTGCTCTCAGAAGAAAAGCACTGAGTATAGAAAAGAAATGGGAAAAAATAATGCAAGCAATGTTTTTTATCATTATAACCAATACTATATGTTCTGTGATAGTTCTCATAGAATATACAGAAAATAAAATAGCATACTTTCCACACTGAAATTGGAATGAGTCCCTCTAAAGTGTGTGTCACAGAATTTAAATATAAAAACATACTCTAAAAAACTAAAAGGAATCCTAGAAGAACTAAACAATACTCCTTTTAATTAACCTGTTCTACTACTGCCACTGAGTAAATGATTGTTAAGTCAATATTATTAGAGACAATAAAATTATGCAAAAAGCATTTGATATGCATTTATTCTCTTTTAATGCTTAATGTATTCTTAAAAGATTACTTTTAAATAAGAAAACTATGAATATAATACTAAAAGAACAGCAACAGTAAGTATAGCAGCTAACATTTTTGAGCACTTACTATGAGCCAGCCACTCTTCTAAGGGCTGTTACATGTATTAATCATTAATTTCACAACCATTCTGTCAAAGTATTAGATTAGTTTCCAGGGTTCACAGATGAGGCTCTGAGCACAGAGAGATAATGCAACAAGTCTACTGAATCTCTTCTGAAGAACAGACAATGAGTAAGGAATGGAGGTAGGTCATTCTTTGGGCATGTCCTCAGATACTAAAGCTGTAAAAAAAATACACTCAATTACAATTTGACTAGACACTGAGACACTGTATTAGACCATCCTTGGAAAACAGAAGATGGTCCATACCAGAAAACTCCATGACTCACTCAAGCTCACAGATGCTCTCGGCAGTGAAACTAAAGGGTTATTTTACAATGTTATGCTAGTTTTCATTATGTATCGGCAAAAGCTAGCTGGTTTCTGAGTATGTCAACCTTTACATATGAGGTAGAAAGAGTAAAAGGACTGCAACATAAATTCAGGAATTTGTCTCCTCTTATGCATGTAGGTTTTGAAGACAACCACTGAAGAGGTCACTGCAGGGGTGAGGTCACTGCAGGGGTGAGTAGCCAGAGCAACAGCTGAGTGTGTGGATAAAAATCACCTGCTGAAAACTCAAACTACCAGGAATCTCTAGGCTTCTGAAAAGAGCTGCTCATTTGATGAACATCAAATTTGTATTTGTATTTTGATTTGTATTCTGTGCTTAGTAGATGAAAGGATGACACAGTGTAGAAGATATTAAAAAGCCTAATGCTTGACCGCAAAAGAAATGTAGGTTACTGAAAAACTGCCCTTGGAAGCAGTCACACCCAAGGTCTGGAGAAATAATCTGTAACAAAGAGCTGCTGAAATTCCCCAATCAATTATGAAGATTAAGAATAATAGAAATTATCCAATATGCTTCTACATTACAGGAAATGGGTTTCTGGAATAATGAAATTACTAATGACAGGAGAAAAAGAGCATCTATTTTTCTCTATAAGATGCCCAAAACTGGGAGGAGTTATTAGCCTTTGTACAGTGAAAAAAATTCACCTCATTTGTCAGTATTTAACCTGAGAAAATATTACTTCCAAAATTATAATCAACCTTTCTGTACTGTTTCTTATCATAAAATGGACAGTACTTAGAAAAGCAACCAATTGTGCCTAACATCATATACTATAACAATTTAGCAATATTATTTATAGTCCATATATTTCTGCCTTTACTTTAGACTTGAAAGGATTAGTATGAGATTTTTTTCCTGCCATGACACCATTTTCACCTCTAGATACAGTAACAGCTCACACATTATCCATTAGGAGAGAGGAAAGCCACTAACATTTCCATAGAAACTCCTAAGTGCAGGCAACATAGCAGATGGTACATGTAAATCTTGCTTACTCTTATAGATTGCTGCTCCCAAGAATATGTGATGCAAGCATTTCTCTTCCTTAAAATAACATCTTCCTCAGTTATCCAATATTTAAAGTATTATGACAGAGTAACAGGCATGCTGCTTGAGAAAGTGCTTGAGTCTTAAAAGCAAGTTTCAATGATTAAAGATACATGTTAAGGGAGAAGGGGAACTAAATATTGTACAAGAACTATTGTTATGAAGCTATGAAGCTGACAATGTACTATTTCTCAGTGTTTATGACTTTAAAAGTTTAAATGAAAATTCCAGTATTATGACAGAGTTTGTACAAAGGAATCGAGAAGAAGCTGGACAAGCCAGCACATGCCTATAATTTCAGCATTGTGGGAGGCTGAGGCAGGAGGATTGCAAGACATGTTTGATTACATTTAGATTATTCTATCAAATTTCTTTAAAAATTTTTTGTTTTAAGTGAAATTGTTTGCCATGGCTATTAGGAAGTGAATCTTTTGAGGGTAGGCAGACTGACCCTATAAATCTTATGGCTTTTCTTAAGCAGAACACAAATACCAACCAGCTACTCCATTTGAGGATCACAAAGGTACCTAATTCATCTTAGAGTTCTTGTGAGATCTGAGTTAACTAATGTATTTAAAATGTTTAGAAGCATTCTGGCATATAGTAAGTGCTCTATTAGTGTTAGTAATTACTATCAAAATACTGCATGCCCGTTTTATAAAAGATGGAAAATATGAATAAACACAGAAACTAGAAAAAAAATCACAATCCATTCATCTCATTCTTTTTACTTAAATGTACTTGTACAGATCCATAATTTCCATGAGTCTATACCAAGTTTGGGGCAACCTTCACTGATGTTTTGTTAAACATAATCACTGTCTAAAAAGAAAACTGAGTTGTAGGGCATAAAAACAGAAATAATATGAATGAAGAATTAAACGTGTCCATATTCTGCTACAGATAGGTCAGGCACTAAAAACAGTCAAGGTAGGATTCTAGGGCCGGGGATTTAGCTCAGTGGTTCCGCCGCCTGCCTCGCAAGGTACGATTCTGTAGGAGAAAACCTAGGGAACGTCAGCACTTCTGAGATACAACTTTGAAGTAATAAATTAAAAACAATATATCAAAGTAGAGCTAAAAGTAATACAAAATATGAACACAATTATAATAGGGAACATATGCTCAGAGAAGATAACCTCAAGGATAAAAAGTTCGCTTGTTTCAAATGACTAGAAAGTCATTAGCACTTCTTATTTTGAAAGATAGCTTCAATACACCAAGGTATTTTCCTTGATTAGTGACAATAAAATAGAAAAGAGAGCAAGTATTTATAAATCTGTACAAAAGACACACACACACACACACACGTGTATGGGAATATCCATGCAGGAAAAATATGCCACCTACAAACCCATCCCTAGCTCAAGGAGGTAATGAAATGCAGAAGGCTGCACTGCTGCCTTTGGACAAACCTGTTGGAAAGGTCGAGTCTGGGCTTGCCTGAGGAACCTCTGCTGCTGCTGCTGCTGCAGAAGCTTCATCTGGATCAGCTGCTGCTGTGAGGTGATGGCATGAAGGGAGGGCGGCTGCATCATGGCGCCTGAGCGCCGCTGCAGCATGTTGGACAGAGCTTGTTTGGTATTGGTTGGAACAAAGGTGCCAGCGGGGTCCAATCTGGAACCTCCTACAAAAGCAACAAAAAGGAAGGGCCTTCTGAGTATGTTAAAAATAACAAGTTTTCCTTATTTTATCAAAATGCAGGGATTTCGCTTTCTAAGTCTCACATTATGAGCAAAAGGGAAACTAATATACTGCCCTACCTCTGCAAATGTTTAAGATCTTTTGAGAGTTACATCATTTTCAAAAGATGAGGAGGGCAATATACAAGTTAACTGTAATATTTTAATATGGCTTCACAGAGGTTACACATGTTGATGAAACGCCAGAAACAAGAAATTGAGATAATTTGAAATTTTGTGGGTTTAAAATTATATTAGGCACTCGGGGGCATATTACTTGCATATTACACATTGCCTCAGTGATGTATTTTGCCCAATGTCCTATGCCAGCCATAGACACCTTTTTGTCTTTTAAATAAATCTAAAGCTCATATTATTTTAGCTCCTTTACCATGGCAAAATAAAAATGTCTATTTTGTAGCTGAAGGGCATGAAAATACCTTGAAATACTTGGAAACTTCAAATACCACAAATCTAAAGGCAAAAAATTTCCTTTTTTGATACTTAAAGTCAAATAAACTACAAACGTTGATTATACTGTTGTTTAAAAAACTAAAGGGGAGCTGAGGATTTAGCTCAGTGGTGCCACCACCTGCCTCACAAGCACAAGGTCCCAAGTTTGAGCACCACCGGTACCAAAAAAAAAAAAAAAAAAAATTTTAGACAAAAACTAAGGAAATCCTTAATATATCTGCAGACATAATCTGTCAAGGGCTTTTATTAGTTAGAAAAACAGTTTTTTCAACTTGCTGGCTTTATAGCAAATGCTAAACCTTTATTTGCCACAAACAGTGAATTTTTTGATGCATATAAGAGAAAAACTCTGTAAGTTACTCAGAAAAGATACCTTATCTTTAAAAGCAACTTCTATGGTGGAAACAAACGTTTTAAAGTTGTTCGCTTGGAAAACCCATATTATTTTAAAGACTCAGTATCACAATCAGTAATATGATTTATTAAGCCATTTAGTGGCGTTTGGAGAACATTTGACAAGCAATGCAAAGTTAATTGAGTAACATTTCAAGCACTTTCATTCCAACAAAATTGGAACTATATTAATACATAACTGATTTACTTATGGAAAAGAGAAAACTTTTTAAAAATTAGACTATTTTCTCCTTCTTTCTTTATTGAGGATTGAATCCAGGGTCTTCACACTGAACTACATTCCCAACCCCTTTTTAAAATTTTTTATTTTTTAACACAAGGTCTCACTAAGTTGCTGAGTTGTCCAGGCTTAGCTCAAACTTTTGATTCTCCTGCCTCAGGGTCCCAGAGTACTGGGATTACACCACTTCTGGCCCTTTATTTACTTTCTTTTAATTTTCCAAACCTCTATAATCTTGTACCTCTGAGCCAACTGAGAAATAAAATGTTATAAATATACCTGAAGTCCTCTGCACATTCCTAATAATTTTTCTCAACTTCTATCAAAGGCTATTCTGATATGGTATTTGTTATTCCCTCACACTTCCTTACAACTGAGTCATGTGTGTGTATCTGATGAAAGAGATACATAAAGATATGTATATGGGGATGTGAAGGATTGTTTTACATTTAAATTATACATGAATGGAACTGTACTCTCCCCAAACTTCTTAGGATTCTTCTTCATATAAAAATCAATTAATTTACTCATATAATCTTCAAAAACAGTTCTTCAAAACTGTTTTCTTACATGGCATCTAGGGAGAGGTGTTGGGTGTGTGCTTTAACAAAGTAGTCTTCAACTTATAGCCCTTGTGTTTTTCACCTTGACATCTATAAAGTTTAGCTAAAAAGTTCACATGGATCTTGGAACTTTAAAAAGTCAAAAGAAAATATAATTGTTTCTCTTCTACATATATGATTAAGTCTAGTTTGCTTTTTGTAGTTTACATTCAACAGTCTTGCTTGTTTGAGGATGAGGTTACCCGGGCTGGCCATGAACTCCTTGGGCTCAAGCAATCTTCCTACTGCAGCTTCACAAGTAACTAAGATTAAAGACACATGTCACCACATCCAGCTGAAACTTTATTTTAGAAGATGAACACATTCTGAGTGGGAGGAATACAAAAACATTAAGCAGTTTTTGTAATGTTAAGCAGTTGAGCAGTTAATTCTTCAAATTCCCAAGTTCTGTAGAGGTTTCAGGTTAAAACATAAGAGAACCCCAAGCTACAGCTCATCCAGTTATATTCTCTTGTCACATACCTGGAGTAAGAGATTGGTTCTGGAGGAAAAAGCCGGGCTGCTGGGGCTGGCCCATGAGGTTGTAACCCCACAAGGTGGCCTGAGGATGGTGCATCATTTGAGAGGAAATGGGCGAGTAATTGGGAGGCACTCGATATATGTTGCTCTGGGGATAGTCCTTTAATATAAAGATTTTAAAAAGTTTAACTCCACATATTACACAACCAATCAATGCAAATGCTTCTTATACAGCTGAAATATTCCTATTCCAGTACATAAGGCTGTTATAATAAAAAGAGAAGATAGAAAGCAAGAGTGTTAATCCATTCTCTTTAAAATTTAACACAATGGAGTTAAAACATTTCCTTGGCTTAAAAAATACTTGGCTGAGAGAGTAGCTCAGTGGTAGCATGCTTACCCAGAACAAGGCCCTGCCTTTGATATTTCGCATCTCACACACATATACACACATATATGCACGCACAAAAGTACTTGGCCTTTAGTGGGTAGAGATGAAAAATGACACCTTGTGAACTGTTTTTCAAATACTAAAAGTGCATTCAGTATACCAATACTGTACAATGCCCAAAACTGAAAGAGGATCTTGGAAGTCTTGATATCCTAGGTTTGGATGAAAATTATGCGAGAAAGGCCCACAGTGCTTCAGAACCATTTTCTGCCATCTCTTCCTTACATTCAGTTTTTCTTTTTTTTTTTTTTTTTTGGTACCGGAGATCGAACTTGGGTCCTTGCACTTGCACAGCAGACGGCAAAACCACTGAGTTAAATCCCCGGCCCCTTACTTCCAGTTTTTAAGGCAGCACTCAAAATAAATCAATTCTACCCAACTCCCTGAGCTTCTTTAGCAGGTGCAGTCTCTTAGGACCACAGCAGAATGTCTCAATTCCCTCATCAGCTTTCCTTTCTCTAGTCTGGTCCTAGAGAATGAAGCACAATCAGAATCTCAGTATCCTGCAATTTTACAAAAGGATACATCCTATGAGAAAGCAGCATCTTCAAAAAGAAAGAAAAGAAAGGAGTAGGGAACATGACTAGGCTCACTTAGGGAATGAGATGGGCTCAGGGCCTTTGTATCTGAAAAGAACAAGACATCCATCCCTGTGGACTGACAGGCCAAGATATCCCAGATTGTAGGGATAATTAATCTTGTCCAAATGGAACAAGAGTAGGACCAAATGAAACAACTAGTGGGAATACTAAATGAAGAGAGTGCACTGGCATTCAAGGAGTATCCAGAAGTGACAGCATCCATTTCTAGGACAGTATATCAGCTAGGAGAAGACATGTTTTAGTTTTGATATAAATGAACAGTAACAATAATGACTCATGAATGTCTAAATGCTAAATAGTGGATATTTCTTCTTTTGTGCAGCAAGAATACCCATAAACTTTGTGGAAAAATATCTCAAATCCTCTCTCAAGTATTTTACAGGTGAATTTAAATATATTTTTATACTTAAGTATATTTTATGAAAGGTATTTTACACATCACATCTGATACTCTATAAAATCATTTCTAAACTGCCACCTAATACATTTCTGTTATTTAAAAAACATCACTTATTGGTAAGGAAGCAAGAGACAAAACTATTTTATCTTTTTTTTTTTTTTTGTGGTACCGGGGATTGAACTCGGACCTTGCACTTGCAAGGCAGGTGGTGGCACCACTAAGCTAAATCCCTGGCCCATTATTTTTAATAGTAGACAAAATGTACTGAAACATAGCTCCTGTCTAAGAGAAATGGAAGGGGCACCAGAAAATGGGTTACTCCTGAAACTATTTTAAATTTTATTTATCTTTTATAAAACTTGAAGACATGGTTAAAATAAAAAGAATGCACAAAAAGGTAAGACACAATGGTGAAATAAATCTCAGGAATATACTATTGGATAGATTCACTAGATATAACTTTAAAGAAAAGCAGAGATTTTTATGTTTTCTATAGATATTGATCACTTAATATACTGTAAATACGCTAAGTAGGCCTAATAGTGAAAATACATAAGAGAATGGAGTTCTAAAAAATTAAATTATAAGGCACTGAAATAGTAACTCATTATTATTCACAATAGGTGCCTAAAATTAAAGTTATTAAAAGTGGAGTGGAGAAATTTTTAAAAAGTAGAGAAGGGAAAATCAAAAGTTTTAAGTCTTTCATTTGTGAATAGTCATAGTGTGTAGTTCATTATTTGCTATAGAAAGTTGATAGGACAACTTTTATAATTTAGTAATATTCTTAGGGATATAATTTGTAAGCCACTCTCTTTAATTCCCCTACTCACATCAACTCGTGAGCTTGGCTTCGTCTTGCGCTTCCTTCCCTTGGTCTTCTTCTCTTCATCAGTTGTGGTTTTTCCCTGATCTGACAGCTCTGCTGATTTCCTTTCTGGTTCCTGAGAAACAGGAGATGTAGGCTCTTCCTCTTCCTCCTCAGGAGGCAGGGGCAGTGGCTCGAGGTAGTAGCTTCGGGGCTTGGGCATGGGGTGTGTGTGGTACAAAAGGAGGTGATGCTGTTCCTCATACTTGATCACTTTGCGGTCCACTCGGACAGTCCCAAACCAAGCCCAAGACAGAGGAGCTGGGTTCTTCTGACCCTCAAACAAGTCCCAAGGAGACACCTTCTGTTTTGTGGAGACCTGGAGACCCTGTGGTAAAATAGTACTCTATGACAACACACTCCAATCTCCTGATTCACAGGCCAGGCTTGCTTAGACACAGATGCAGAGAGTATTTTTGCTGGTGTGAGCCTTATAGAATCCAGCACACATGGGTCTGGGCTAATCAGTTAGGTCCCTTGAGAGAAGCACCTAGACATTTAGATCACTTCCACTGTTCTTTATACTACATGATGCTCTGTTCAGCCAAAATAAGGCAATTGAGCATATTTCACAGTAAAAGGGCATTTTTCATGTAGTCTGTTAAAGTAAAAAACAAGTTTCTAAAGTATACTACAAGTTGATTTTACTATACTAAATATGCTATAAATCTCCAGAATCTTTTTATTATTTTTAAGCTAATATAAAATTTAAGTCAAGATACAGTCACCCTCTAATTGGGTTCATATTAACTTCAATCCAAACCTGTATGGACTTGATTTGATATTGGAACCTTTCATGTACTTAATAAGCCAATCTCTGAATACAATAATATTATCACAGAATTAAATTTATAACAACAGGTACAAATAAAGTCTTTCAATTCCAGTTTATCTTTAATGATTCTAGAAGAGTAGTGTTAATCTGTTTCTAAAAATAAAACTTTATTTTTGATGTTAGTTAGTTATCTCTTAGAACATTCCCTCATGTTAATTTGAACACGTTTTGGCTCAAAATAGACCCCTAAATAACTATTCAGTCATCTCATTAAATTTGAGTATTCTTTTGTGGGAGGCTTCTTCTAAAACCAATCAATTACCACCTATAAATAAACTGTTTCCAAACATTTGTCTTGAGGTGAGACCATTTTCCTGGATATAAGATCATACATCCAAACAGATCTGGATGTCTCATGTTAGCCCACACTCAACCTACCATGACTACAGCTTTTCTCTTTCCATATCTATACTGGTATTGGGTATTCAGTTACTCTGAATGATGGCTGCACTGCATTTTTCCTGTAAGATCCATTTCATTGCTTAAATAAGCTCTTCCCTCTGCCTTGTCACATTATCCTTCAAAATGACCCGTCTGTCAACTATCCTAGGGACCCTGCTCTGACAACCTTCCCCTGTCTAGAGTTTGCTGGCTCTTTCTCAGTCTGCCCTCATACTCTTTCTGTACCGTACCATGACTCACAAATCTCATCATACTATAATTGTCTATCTACTTCTCTTGAGGGTAGGGTCCCTATCTTTTATCTTTGTGGTTTGCTCAGTGTTCACTGAAAGAGTAACTGACCAATCTTCTTATATTTTAGAGAATGTTTAAAAATGTCATATAAAACAAATGTCCATGTATTGTTGTGTGATAAGAATATATAACATTTAAAATAATTTTCCTTGAAACAGCTTAATACGTGAAGATATTTATCAATGAAAATTTTCTTATCCAAATTTGTACTCTGCTTGCAATTCTAAAGTAAAACCAGAACTTGTCTTTGGGGTTTTTTTTTGCTGCAGCTGTTGATTTTCATTTTCCACTAAGCTTTTACTTGGTTTTCCCTTGATAGATTTAGAAATTTACTTAAATTCAAGTAAGTATTTCAAGTGAAGCTCTTCAAAGAGCTGACCTATTTATCCTACTAATGACCACTGCACTGAAGATTATAATATACCTTTAAGAAGTCAAGAAAATGAAAAAGTGAGTTTTATATATACCCTTAGGAAGAAAAAAATAGCTGAATTCTATAAATAGACATATTTATGAATGAGAAAAAAACATTTTCTCTTGCCTGTTTTTTATCTATAGAGTCAAATCCAGCAATTTTGTTTCCCTTTGTGTCAATCAAAGAACCCATAGGTTCACAAGTGATGACATCACATGTCTGTTTCGGCAAAGGTAGCAACTGTCGAACTTTGTCGATGCTTTCTGACCGCTTGTCTCCTAGCTCTTTCTGGGAAAAAAAGAAAAAGTGGGGGTGGGGAGAGGAGTGGGACAGAAATTTAGAAATTACAACGAAGGCAAAAGTTAACAAGAAGGAAGTTCCCCTATGAAACATTTCCTTTTTTATAGCTGTCATGTTCTTTAACCATGAACACAGTCTATGGAAGAACTGCAAAGCAATGGTGAGTCTGTTTCATTTCTTCTATTTAAGTAGAAAACAGAACACACATAAAAGCAGTCTTTTTATGTAACAAACATCACAATGCTGAAGTGACAAAAATCTAGAGTAGCATTTGTACTCAGAAGACAGGAGCTGGAGCACAGAATACTTTCTCATACCCAGGGTCAGATCACAAGGTAACCATCAGTTAATTTTATTTGTAAGGTCATCAGTTATGTTTTCTTCTTTGTGCTATTTTTTATACAGCTTATTTTAAAGACTGTGGTGATGATTCATGAAAAGAGACTCACAGGTATCAGTAGATATTTACTTTTCAACTATATATGGCAAGTCTAAGCATGAATTTATCCTAAATCAATGGTAGCGTGTTGTTTTTATGTTTGATACCATATTTCTAAAGTTCATTTAAACATTGAACAGTTTTCTGAGTATAATTTGTGTTTTTAAACATGTTTTCTGAATATAATTTGTGTTTTTAAAGAAAAATTTACAGGATTGCATGTTTGTAATTTTTCGGGTACTGGTAAGTTAAGATAAAACAAACAGTAAATTACCACACTAAATTAATTTAAATTAATGGGTAGAAATTTTAAATAAAACATACCAGATAACAAATTCCAGAAATAATTTGACCTCATAATATGAGCTGTTCACAAACTTACTTTCAGTTTCTTTACTAAATTCATGTATGCACGTTTGTTCTCTTCAGATCCACCTGGGGATGCATTTGATAGGTCAGAGGCTAGTGTTCCATTGATTAAAACACCCAGCATGTCAAGCACTGTTGTGAATAATTCACTAGGAAGAGAAAGAAAACTCTGTTAATTTTAATGGCAAGCCAAGATATCCTTGATTTACTGAGCATTTCTATTGAAGGCACAGAACTTTTAATGGCACCTAAGTTAATAAGATATGGTACAATTTTCTTAGTACATCAAAGCTTATACCATGTACTCATGCAGTAAAATAAACAAGAAATGGTAAAAACATACTTGTTAGTGTGCATGTCAACAGTTCCTGAAGTAATTATCTGAAGGAGTAGGAGGGCCCAGTCTGTGGTCCATTGGGTGCTCCTCTGTACTGTGTCAAACATTCCTCCTACCTAGCATACAAAATACAATAAAAAGTTTGTTTTAATATGGAAGGGAGAGAGGGAGGAGCCAAGGCTTACTTTATGGATTAAAGACTATCCTGTCTTCTTTCCCACTTGGCTATCACTATTTCTGGATTCTTTAGCACAGTTTGGTCATTCAAAAACTAAAGAGTAATACTTGACTGTAAGCACCAACAAAATTAGTTTTCTTCCTAATCTTTCATGATACTCAGTTTTATACTGTAATTTTAGTTAAAATGAACCTGAACACTGTCAAAACTATGTAACCTCATTATCCTCACCTTTGTGTTGTTCAACTCCTGTTGCATCTAAGCCTGAGATCATATTACCTGAAGGTCTGCCAGTTTATCTGTGTAGGTATTAGGTTAAAAACTGCCAACACATTAGACCCATAACTCCTCAAAACAGCCTTCATTTGGGTCTGTCCAACAGGAAAGTTCAAAGGAATGCACAATGTGTAAGAAATGTTAAATTTCTATAAAATATCTCTGCAAGATGTCTTTCTGATCAATTTGATGGAAAGTCTGTCACAATTTTGAGTTGAAGGATTTTAGTATTTAAAAAATAAGAATAGTGAGATTCAACACATCTCAAAGTGGTCCTCTGAAACCTACTCTTAGCACAAACTAGAGAAATCTGCTTGATGGGGATAGGGCAGAGAAGACAAATCAATGCTTAAAACATCTACTACTCTCTAGAACTCAGTTCCCACAGGAAGAAAAACAGAAGGCTCAAGAGAGAGGGAAGTAGTTACAGAAGGCAAACAGTGGGAGGCCTCACCTTAGCAGGCAGACTTTGCCCCACAGCAGAAGTTGAAAGCTGGAGTTATTTTCACATGTACAGTATATGTGAGTAATGGAGAGAAAACATGAGAAAGGTTCCTTACCAAATTTAGGCGAAGTTGCAATGCTTCATGCATCATCTGTCGTGCCTTTATGTCATCCTGGTATCGTTCTTCTCTCCAATTACTTAAAATCTACAATCAGGGAGAGAAAAAGAACAGAAAAATACTTTTGCCTCTTAAAATTGAATTTTTCTTATATTTAAATTGAGATTTTTTTATTAACAGCCAAAAACAACTTCTGCTTTAAAAAATAAACAAAGAAAGTTGTATAAAATTTTAGCTTTCCTCCCCTTTGTTCATGCAGACAGAAACCTATTTCTTTGTTCATCTGCCTTTCCAGGAAGGAAGAGAAAATCTTACCTAATTATACATCCTATCACTAAGTCTGAGAAAATGTTTTAAACGACATCAAATTAAACATTCACAAAATTTTTAAAAATACACTGTTTCATTGGCCTTATGAAGATAAATACTGGAGAGCTAGGTTACATTTTCACTGGTCCCATGCTATATTTCTAGGGATGTGCTATGAACCCTAGCAAATGTATTATAAGTTTGATATCTTAATACATATTTCTGCCTTGAATAAAAAGAATGCATAGAATGCATACCATTTTGAAAAATGTGGCATCTTATACATCAATCAAGTACATATAAATTCATAAAGTGAGCTGCTTCTTCATTTCCTCACTGACTCATATTAATGCTGGGGAAGGGAAAATTTGCTGAGGTAAGGCAAGCCACAGTAGGCTACACCCCAGAATCATATGACACAAGCAAACAAACACCCAACAACAAAAAAAAAATCCAGTAGCTAAAGAGAGTCATTTTACAAGAGGTGAAATGAGACACATGCAGAAGTAATCCATGCCAACAGCTGACCTATATATACAGCATACTGCACAAGGAGAAGTGAGCACTTCCCAAATCTCATGTGGCAAAGACATGGGCCTCTTCCAAGCTTGAATTAGGGTGCAAGACAGTTACACACACAGCTCTCACGGAGCTTAGATACTAGTGGAACAAATGAATACAAGTAAAGTTGAGCAAGTGGTATGAAGCAAGGCAAGGGGAGAAAGAACAATAGAGGTCCCATTTTTAGAAGGTGACTGTGGCCTCATTAAGAAGACAACATCTGAACAGACACCTAAATGAAGGAAGGGAGTAGACAGGCTACTATCCCAGAAGGAATCCTTCTAGCTAAAGGGAAGAAAAGATGTGTAGGTATTAAAAGTAAAATTTGTTTGGCAAGTTTGGGGAACAGAAACAAGCAACTGTGACAACTGTGGATGAGCAAGGCCATAACTGGTAGTAAGAAAGGTGGAAGATAGCAAATGTAAATGATTCAGGGCCTTATTTCCCACACTGCAAGTTTTTAATATAGATGATGAGAAAAACAAGTTAAGTGCCCCTGTCCATGTCCACACAATAACATTCAGGAGAAAGACAGTGTCATAAGTCACAGCACCACAAGAAGGCTCCCATTGACTCTGCATCAGGACAAATGTCTCATACAGCCAATCCATCCACTTTCCTTGATTTAATGTCCTCAAATTTCTAATTCATTCAATTTCTGAACAGTTTATAGAATGCAAAGTGCTTCAAACACTGATCAGAAGAATCAGAGCTAGTGAAAAGGTAACTTTCAAATTCTTTGCAAATGAACCAATATACCTTCTGGTTTATGAGTGAGTTTCTTACGCTTTCGTTCAACTGGGATCAAACTGATGTCCTGGCAGCCAATAAAATTAACTTCCTGAACCTTCAGAGTCAGGTTGAGATCTACCTGCCATGTGGAAGCCCAGCCTGAGGAAGAAGGACATGTTCCTCTGTCTCATACCATCCCTATTATAACACAGACCCTTCCAGATCTTCACTCATGAGGCAGAGTTAGGAGAGGGCCAGACATTGTGTTTCAAAGGTACAGGCAACACGTAAGAATTTACTTTTAGAGTCTGTACACATGTATTATATGTACACATGTATTATTATGTATATATAATATAAAACTGTTCACCTTGAGGTGACTAAAATGCCAGGCTGGAGAACAGGGCACAGACTGTTGTTTCCTAGGATCTCAACAAGATACGCCATCCCTTTATTTGTTTAACCTTAGTATTTGAAAGGAAAACCAATGAACACCATTATAAAGATGGTTGCCTGACTTAATATTATACTGTACTCTACCTGGTTAACTTGATTCTGGAGAGATGTCAGGAGGCCTTCCCGTTGTTCATCTTGTCCCTTAAGGCAGGTGAGGACCAGTGACAGGAAAGGCTGTTGACTCAAAAGAGACATACTGCAAAGGAAGTAATCACAGCAAATCTAGTTAGAAAGAACAGATTGTTTCCTGTTCCAATATTTATGTTTTCCCCTTTGGGTTATTTGCTCTTATTTATTTTACTATTACATAAAGAAAGGGGTGGAGATTACCAAAGACCACTTGAAAAGTTAAATCATATTCTAGTTATGAGATGAAAAGCAACTGTAAAGCTTCTATTTGACTTAATAGGGGTTTTTACCCTGGAAGGCATTCACAAACTACTGTAAGTCCACATTGCACGTAAATGTGTGGTGGGGAGTAGGGGACTATCATGAATTTGTGTTTTACATCAATAAGTAGAATCTTAAAATATACATCAGAAAGAGTATTTATTTATACATGCAATAAAATGAGAAATTAAGAAACTTTTCACCCAAAACTCTTAAAGTCTAGGAAATAGGCCTCTATGTGTTCTGTGATTATTTTTGAGATTTTCTTTGTTTTTCAGCATAGTTTTTGAGATCAAACAAGAGGGTATTGGTAAAATTAGGATTAGCAGCAAGGCCACCTGAGTTGCTGCTAGTGACCTCTAGTGCCCATTTCCACCACAGTCCATGGCCTCTACTGGTAAAAGGGCTTCGAGACATTTCGCAAAAATTCTGGTTTAAATTGGCATTTTAATAAAGTATTCTTAATTAAAGAACAAGTGACAAACTATAGGCTATAAATAAAAATTTCTTAAAATGAAATCTGTCAGAATATTTCAATCAGCTCCATCCTATATGAACAGGATTGAGAGTCACTGACTTAAGAATTAACTTCCACCTCTATAAGAATTAACTTCCACCTCTATAAGACCATCTGTACTCCAGAAAAATCAGGCAGAAAACACACTTTGAAAATTAGATCTATATGTCCTAGTTGGCTAATTAATACTGGCAAAGATGGTGAAATATTAGATGACAGATAAAATGAATACATCACTAGGTCTCCTCAAAATGCACAGTAGTTAGCACAGTCTCAGAAGCCAGCCTGGTTGGGCTTAAACACACTTCCTCTCCTCTGCTGTGCAACCTAGAACGACTTAAGTAACCTTGTACTGTGCCTCAGCTTCTCCACTGTAAAAAGCAGCTAATGAGAGCATGTGCCATATAGATTGCAGAGAAAACCTTAAAGCCCATGTGTACAATGAGTTTATATAGGAAATAGCACTTCATAAGATGTCAATAAAGGGAAGATATGACAGTATTATTGACTAGGGAGTAAGAAAAATGTCTGGTATTTTTATAAAATGGAAGAAATTACTACCTTTTCCTTTACTCCTGTGATGCCAAATTCACAATGTGAAGTTCTATTCTTCCTCAATAATATGACCAGTTTTTAAAAGTAATTGTTGTAAACCTTTTCTTAGGCATTAATTATTAATAAACATTAGCTTTGGTGGCTTAAGAGATTTTAATATCTAGTCAGGAACAAGAGACCTAAATGTTAAACTTAGTAACAATTTCAGGATCTAGCATGCCAGAATTAAAAGTAACTGTATGTATGGTAACATCAGCACCTAATTCAGAAAATGAGAAATAATTTAAAATGAAATATAAAAGGCAGATGGCTAGGCCAATCTAACTTGCCTGATCTAAAGTGGTGCTCAAAAGTATTTTCAAAAGTACAGTGGTGATTTGGATGCACAGACAGAATTGAAAAGTAGTGCACTATTATTACCTGGAACTTTTTAGGAACAGAGCCTTGACTAACAGAGTATTCCCCATTCTATTTAAAAATAAATATTAGTGGCCTCTGAATGTAATGACCATATATTTGCAGGACACAAGACTACCTTGGGTGTTTTTCAAACTTTCACATAAAGAGACAAATCTTCCAGCCGTACCTCTTCTGTTTCTGTCTGTCTCGCTCCTTTTTTGAAGACGAGCCTAAGTGCTGTCCCTTCTCCAGCTCTTCCCCAGCAGCTTTCAGCACTCGTCCCTGCACAGAGGTTGGCAGCCTGGCGATGAGGGGGGCCACCAACCACACGCCCCTGCGTTCAGAGGAACTAAAATCAGAAACAGGTGTTATACCCGAGGAAGCAGCCTGAGTGTCTGCTCTCCCAGTTGCAGCAGAAATTCCCAAAACTTTGATGTGCCAGGCACAGGCTATTCTAAAATTTCTCTTTCATTTCTGTACCATCTTTCCTCTTGCTAAAGACCAGACACTTGCTTATACCTTCCACTTATTTTTAGGAGAACAATAAAAGGTGCAGTTCTGGGAGGATACTGTAATTAAATCTACTTTCTAGTACTTTTCTATGATTCTGGTTTCTGATTAGTAAGAACCAGTCATTGTTTTGTCCAACAAACAATATACTTTTCTGTCGTGGTTACAACAAAATGTTATGGTTAAGTGTAATAATAACTAATGATTTTAAGTTTTAAAACACACTAGTTATATTTTGTACGAAAATGGTGAAATACAAATCAATCTGCCTTTCATGATTAAAGGATTTCACAATTTCATATGCCTACTGGTTCTAAATTCTAAACAAATAAATATTTGTCCAAACCTGCCAGCTAATCCAGATGACAGAAAAAGCGTTTTCTATAGAATGTTTACCATGGAACATCAGTATCCTAAGGGACACTGAAGACATAAATCAAACCTGAGTTCATCAGTAGTTCCAAGGTGTCAAAGCCTACTTAACCAAATATTTAAAATGCTAAGAATATCATCCACCCAGCTTCACTCTTTTACTTATTAAATAATAGTTACTGTCACTTACAAGTATTTATTTTTTCACATTTCCTTTAGCTTAAAAAAAAACTATTATACAAATAAAATTTACTATTACATGTGAAAAATTAATGATAGCCCAATAAAACTACACAAAAATACCTTAGAAATGTCTTTATTCCATTCTGTCTTGTGCTACTTGTATCAGCACTTCCAATACCATTTGGGTTGAAGAGACTCATGCCAGAATTAGAAGAGTTATTATTTAGGTCTGCAGACTGCTGGAATACCTCTATTGTTGCCTTAGCAATATTGTCCAGTAAGTTGTTCATTTCAGTCACAGAACCAGAGCCCTAGAGTTAGATGTAAGAAAGCTAGCACATATGTATTCCTTTATCCTCAAATATCAATGTGTTTTTGTGTTTCGTAAGATTTCATTCACATATATGTGTTCAATATATACTCACTGGGTCCTTTAAGCACTGTTTGATCATTAACTGAAGCTCAAGCCAGGACTGTCTCAATGTCCACTGCTCAAGATTCTGGTTTAAAGAGAAAGAATTAAAACCTTAGGACTACTCAATTTTAACATATAACAAATGCTTGTAGTATTTCATCTCTCAAGAAAGAAAAGAATGACACACAAAGAATTTACATGAATTAAAGGTTTGTGATCCTGTTACATATATTCAGCATAGACACACACAGAAGAATAACATCAAACTAACTGACTCAGCTAAGAATTAGAAATAAAACAATCATTTTACCTATCAAAACCCATTTAGCTAACCAATCCTACCCCAAGATAATTTTAGTATTTCCTGGATAATACATTAAGATTGTTCCTCCTCAGACTATTTCTCATGTAAATACAGTGCTGCTTACAATATTAACATTTGTTTGATAAATATATGAAATTAGCGGCATTTATATCTACCTAGCAATAAACCTTGACAACTCCACAGCAAAAAAATTGGGGGAACAAAACTCAGAATTAATTGAAGTCAAGAATTAGTTAGAGAAAGAGAAAGGGGGAGGGGGGAGGGGAGGTGGAGGGAGAGGGAGAAAGTGGGGAAGGGGAGGGAGACAGAAAAAGAGAGGGAGGAAATAGCTTCTAACATTACAGAGAATGTGTCAGATGACAGAAACACAACACTTGGGGTGCACCGCTTACCTGAAGAATGCGCTTAATGTGCTGTCTTTGCAAGTTGTCTCCGTCAGTACACTCTTTAATGCCATGAGGATAACAGATAAGCTGCAACAATTTCTGCGCTTGCATATTGGAAAGCACAGGGTCCAGTATAAGCTCTTTGTCTGTACATAATCTTTCAGGTTCCTTTAAGCAATGTTCTCCTACCCATTCCTAAAAATAATATAGCAGTTAGATTGACAGGCACTGACTTTCTATGTATCTATGTAATATGTACTAAGTTCACAGAGCAAAAAGGGATATAAAGTTGATAAGTCTTCCAATTTAGAAAATTACAAGAAACAAGAAGATGGAAAAATTTTAAAAACAAATTTGTAGCATTTTGACGTCTTAAAACTACAGTGTTCCTTGATTAAAGAAAAAATTTTAAAAATCTATATGCGAAAAAATTGGTATATATCTTGAACTGAAAAATGGGGCCTTGCTTTATGGCTCTGTTTTGTAATCAGTTTTTTTAAAACATGGTATATAATGATTCCATATTATATATGCTCTTCAAAATCTTTATGGTATATCACTGATATTGATATATCACCGAATAGACAGAACACAGTATAAGTATTTTTAAAATTAACATCCTTTTTGATAGTACTATGCATGCTACTATTATAAATAAATAATTGTGTGCATTTACTTGCTGTATAATTATTTTCTTATGATAATTTGAAAGAATTGCAACTACTGGGTCAAAGGGTATAACAAAAGCTTAAGGCTAGAGATCCATATGGCTAACTGCCCTCAAGTTTCTCCTAATTTAATCTCCTAGCACTTTTTCTTCATTTTTTGAAGGCAAAATTTTGTGCTATAGTAGATGGGGTAAGAAATCAACAACAGTAGAGCTCAATCTGAACCCAGATATATTTCAGACGAAGTCTGTTTACTTTTTTTTTTTTGGTACTGGGGATCAAACTCGGGACCTTGTGCTTGTGAGGCAGGCGGCAGAACCACTGAGCTAAATCCCCAGCCCTGAAGTCTGTTTCTTAACCACCACACCAGAGACTCAATACTGACTGTTGATTAAAATCACCTGAGGAGTTTATGGACCTCCACATTCAGGTCCCACGTTAGACCAATTAAATCAAACACAGGTAGAGGTACTAAGATATTGTTTTTAAGATTTTTTTCCCCCTAGGCTTTAAATTCTTTCCTTCCTTCCTTCTTCATTCATTCATTCATTCAGTTTTGGCTGTTGCTACTGGTAGGCTAGGCCCAAGATACCCAAGATCCTGCCATAGGGCTTACACAGCACCCTCTTGGGACCAGCTGCAAGGAGCCTACACCAGGCAGCCTTGCTGGAGCTCTAGGAATCAAAAATCTTGTAAATTCCCCAGTGATACTATGTGCACTCACACTGGGAAATAAAGCACAGGTCCTCTTCAGCATCTATATGAGTATTCAGCTAATTTTTATCATGGTTAGAATAACCCTTTAACATGTAAAAACATGACACAACTCAGTAAAACTATAGTAAAATACAAAATATATAAAGCATGTCACTTTTTTTTAAGCAAGAAGTTTTTGTTTAAAAAACATGAAAGGATAAGCCAGAAGATAATAAAACAGATCAGCTGGGGCAGGGAGTGGCACAGAGTACAAGGGATATGGAAGAGAGGACACATCTCTGAATATACTTTTTTGTAGGTGGTGTGACTTTTGTATGTAATTCTATGCAAAGAATTGGGAGAGAAGAGAATTTACACTGAATTTAAACAAAAACAAACCTACTTCTATTTGAAATACAGAATATATTTACACTAAATAAGAAAGCTCAAATAACCTTTGAATGCAATATTGTAAACCCATAGGAAAAAAGAAAGCACAAACTAATCTTCAACTCCTCTTAGTAACTTGTTTTTCCTTGAGTTATATGGGTAACAATTCTGAAGCCACAGTATTTCAGATGCATTGTAAAATTAAGCAAATGTGTAAGTAAGCTGATTGATGTTATAGGAAAGCAGCGTTCTTTGCAAGAAGGAGATAATAACATGCAATGGGGGAAGGTAAAGCACAACTTCGTAGAGTTGGATTGGGACTGGAGGAGTCAGTATGAACTCATAATTGTAAAGACAGAAAGACAAAGACACACACACACACACACACACACACACACAGTTGGATGTAGTTTGTTCCTAGCTCTGTTTGTTGAAAGACTCAGAAACAATGGCACTTCATAAAATGGGCACACATTGTATTAGTTCTTGCTTTCTAAGCACCATTCTCTACTAAACAGAACCAGAATTCCTAGGAGGAATGACTGATTTTAGCCCTAAACCAGGGCAAGTACAGGACAGGCCAGAAAGTAAGAAACAAATCTGGAACAGCTTACAGATTAAAATAACTAAGGACATATGGATATGAAAAATAAATGAACAAGTAAATAAAAGGGTAGGGTTTTCCTTCAGTAGGAAAAAAACCTGATATTGTGTAGAAGAGGAGGAAATGGAGGAGTGTTACCATTTTGCATACATGATAGAAACAACTGGTTTAGATAAGAATAAAAATGGATGCTTATGAGGGATGGGGAAATTTGCATCATCTCAAAGTGTTTCCCCAAAGATTCCTTATTAATTCCAAGAGGTAAAACAGTAACTACAGAACGGAAAAATCTTGAAACTAAAATGGAGACACCTCAATCAATATTAAATCACCAATAAAGTACAAATGAACATCGTGTGCCTTAAGATGTGGGTACCTGGAAGAACACAACTTTACTTCTGTAGTCTCTTGGCCAGGGATGCAAAATCTGAAGCTAATCTTCAGGAAACTTTAGACAAATGAATAGTACTAGGACAAATGACCAAAGTGGAATGTGGCCTAAAGATGAGAAAAAATTACTATACCAATAGTAAATTTTCTGATTTTTAGTAACTATATTTTGATTATGTCATGAAATGAAGACTGAAGTATTCAAAAAGCAAAGAAGTATAAAATACACCATCGACTACTCTCAAAGGGGTCAGAAAAAATATGTATTCACATTCACACACAAACAGAATTATAAAGCACATGTGGCAAAATGTAAAAATCAGTGCATAGCTGTAAAGAATATACTGTAGTTAGTTCTTTATTATTATTATTACTGCAACATTTTAGGAAATTTGAAATTATTTCAAAATAAAAGTAGTAGAAAAAAAGGATCACCTGTATACAAGTTTCCTACAATAGTCAGCAACTCCCTTCGAAGTTGTTACATTTTCAAAGTAAAAGGCAAAATGAATTGGAGAATACCTGTTGACAGATAGTCCTCAGGACATATCTAGCATATTCTCTTAAATTGGCAGTCTCTATGGAAATGATTTTCCCGCAGGATTTTGCATTTTGAGAGGTGGTCCAGATATCGTCAGCATTCCCATCACGCCGTAAACTTCTCATGGCAAAGTCATCATTCTTTAAAGAGCTGACATTGTTACTGCCAATTTTGGCATCTCCTAAATGACAGAATCACAAAAGCAAAATCACAGAAGTTCAAAATATTGCCAAATATTTGAGAAGAAAATGAGCCTAGCTCTCAGGGATTTAAAATATGTGAATGGTGTTATTATCGCATAGCCAATTGTTCAGCAATGAGAGAATGGATCAAGAGAATAAATGAAAGAACCCAGAGAACTATCAGACATGGAGAAAAGGCAAGTTCAAAACTCATTCCTTCTTTTGCTTACAGAATTAGACACACTCACCAAACTTCGAAAGGCCATTAAGAATCACAATAGTCACAGAACATTGATTTCACCAAAAATTTAAGCATAAAGATACTCAAATTCATTTGACTTATAGATAAGGAAAAATGGGTTACTCACCCTATTAGATGTCCCTTTTCCATTTCTTCTCTTACAATGACTTATTTTCTATCCATAGGTCAAGAGAAAAGTTTTGCCTTAGCTCACCTTACTATCAACTTCTTGACAAGAGAGATTTATTCCCCTGGGAATGGAAAAGGGCAATGCATACTAAGGAAGCCCCGAAAAGTAGGGCATCCATTGAATAACCCATGTCTTCACCTTCCTCTTTGTAACATCCAATTAGAAAACCTTGCTGGATCAATCTCTAATTTATTCAGTGAAATGAAAGTGAGGAAAGTGTTATCCTCATAACAAAGTTCTGGGAGAAAAAAACTGAACAGAATACATTTGAATAGCCAGATGAAATCTCTAGTGATAAAAAATAACGACAAAAAGAACCTGTCATATTTTAAAAGTAAGAGTCATATAATTAGGTAGCAAGGGTTGCCAAACAATAGCAGAGTCTTCAGACTTTTGACTGCTTACCAACAGGATCAAAATAAGCCTTTATAAGAAAATTTCCTGAAATGAAAAAATGAACTTCGGCAAGGCCTTCATGGCCTTCAATAAGTGAGCAAAACTAAGCCCAAATCAGTGCAAAAAGCCTTTTAAAGTGCAAAATGCCTTTCTCGACCAAGAAAAGATTTTGACTCTGCTGAAAAAAAAAAACAAACAAACAACTGAATATTTATTTAAATATCTTAAGAGGTGACATAAACAACACATTTTAATCTATTAATATGCTGTCATACATTTCACAAAATTTGAATACAAAAACTACTAACTTTACCTACAGGAATTTATGTAATTCTACAGAGGTTTCTTTTAGGAGCTGAAGGAATGAACACCAAACACCAAAATTTAGTATGTGTTCTCCACCCTTAGGTGACAAAAACAACTATCATTATATTTCAAATTAAACTATTATGGAATTTATGAATCAAATTCAATATACCGATTCCACCTTCCTATCTCAAAATATATTCTGGTAAATAGAAATTGGAAAGATATTGGGAGGACATTGATGAGTAAAGAGTAAACTAAAACCTCTGTAAAACAAAAACAAAGAAGCAAACACCTGTGTCAGTCCCAGACCAGGATATACTCATTTACTTAGATGATACAATGAGAGAAGGTTTGAGAGGCTGTGCCAGAACCTTCTGCTACTGCACAGATAACAGCACAAACTGAGTGTTTAGTGTGAATGTGATTCAGGGCTCTCCTGACATTTAACCAGCCTGATTCTGACTTAGACTTGGAGAAGCCTTCATATTACCTGAATATTTAAAGAAGTAGGCAAATTTTAATTGGAGTAAGACCAGTCCTAAAAATCAAGGGGCCAGGTGTCTAGATGGCACTGATTATGGTTTCTGCCATTAAAACATCTGTCATTTATGTATTCATACTTCCAACATTAGTTTACTGAAAATCTATTTGCTAGTTTCTCTGATAAGCCCTAGAAATACCACAGGAAAAGAGTCAATTCTGGCCTAGATGGGTCTGTACATTTTCATTCTGCAGAGCTGACTAGCCATCCTTCCCTTCAAATGTTATTAGCAAGGAGAAATTTTACTCACTAAAATGAGCATTCAATGTGGGCTGCAATATTACAAATTCCTAGGGCTCAGAGGAAAAGCTGTGGCCTCTCAAAGTAACTCTACCCTTTCCTTTTTGCTAAAAAACTTGTGCACATTTCAAAAGAATATACTGTTTTTCTGTGAACTTTTAATAGGCTGTTCTATTAAAAAGAAAAAAAACCTCTCCCCTTCTCCCTTGTTATCACTAAATAACATTTCTCAGTCAGGACAGGGTCATAGCTTCACTCGTGGCTTTTCTTCCTGTTTCTTTCCTTTTCTTTCTTTCTTTCTTTTTAAATTTCAAGACAGAACCTAGCTAACTTGCTGTGTAGCCAAAGCTGGGGTTGAACTTGTGATCCTCCTGCCTCAGCCTTCCAGAGTGCTAACATTACAGACGTGTACCACCACACCTGACCATCACTCACGTTCTTTAAGAGTAATCTACAGCAATTCCTAGCCACTCAACCATTCTGTTTTAATCAAAGGGAACTCAGCTGGAGAAATAAGAGAGAACTACAGTTTAATCAACACCAAAAGCAGGTACTCAAAATTGGAGTTAGGCATTTATGAATTCAAGATTTGCTAATCATTCAAATCCTGTATAAATTTACAAAAATGTTTCAGGGTACTACACAGTACATGTGGTAGTACTGTTACTCCAGGAGAATACATACAAATAAGGGTATAAAGGTCAATTTTTTAATAATAGGAATTAAAAAGCGCAAAGTCTGGAATTCGAGCCCCAGTGCCAAAAAAAGAAAGAGGAATTAAATTTTAAAAATTACTGATACCTAATTTTTAGTTATCAATAAAACAAATATGATTGAAATGATCATCTGACTCAAAAAAAGTAGAGCATAAGACTTAAAACTTGATGAGGGTCATAACAGAAGCAGAAACAGTATGAATAAAAAATTCAGGTTTTCTGATGTTCTGCACCTGGAATACAAACTGGGTGAAGTTTAAACCTTTAGTTAAAATCACCAAGTCAACCCAGTCCCTCATAATGTGTGATTTCTGCTAACAATAAAGGTCAGAATAAGGTATCCTGCAATAAAACAAAACAAAAAATAGTATTTGTATTTAAGTTCCCCCAGAGTCACTCTAAGTAAGGGACAAAATTCAAGAGAGTTCCATTATATCCGGACTTGGGGAAAGTCAATTAATTTTTCCAGAACAAACAAAACAAACCATGTTTCCAATAATACTAATTAGATTTTAACTTGAATACAAATTATTTTGCCTTCATTTCTGGTGATTAATCAAGAAACTAAGGGCCAGGATAGTCTTACCAAGCATCATAATTGCTTTTAAGACAGCAAAAACAGCTCCCACTTCAATGCTGTTGTGAGCAGCGGCTAAGAGGTGTCTATCACAAGATGATCTTATTCCAGGGAAAGGTTTGCCTATGAAAACAACAACAAACCTTTAATAGTCTCATCACCATCATTAACAATCTTTTGTAATCATTTACAGTCAGCGAGGTCTTTCATTGTTAGATTGTGGGCACTTAATTGCCATTATCTTGCTTTAATTGATGTTCCATGGATTCACTAACACTGCCAGTATTCTTACTTAACCTTTTCTTTTTAATTATTAAAACAATGTTTTTGCTTGTAGAGAGATGTAGCAAAAAGATTAGCAAGATTCCCACCCAGACATAGACATATCTATATGGAAATGATCCTCAGAAACAGACTTCACTTACACCTCTACAATTCTTACCCCCTTTTCCTGAGAAAAAGAATAAATGAATCACCACTGCCCTAAGCTAGGATGGTGTGGTTCAGAATCAACACACATAATGTGTTAGAGGATTATGCTGCCCACCAACATGGCATGGCCTAAGAGCCAAGGTATTTTTATTGTCTGTGAAGTCCTAAGTTTCTCAATATATTCTGATATTATATAAGTGAAAGGTGCTGACTCTTGTTAGCATTATCTCACTCATTCATCACCCCCAGATTAAGCCCACAAAAATCAGGAAGGAAATTACAAAATGGACAGCCCACTTGTTATTTTAGAACCTATACCTCTATAAGAAAATGTAATCAGAAATTTTTTGGCTGTTGGCTCACCACCTGCTTGAGGTAAGAAGCAGGCCTGCGGAGCTCGGAAGAGATGAAGCAGGAGTCTGCATGTCATTCTTGCCCCCGGCTCTGCGTCTGCATCTCCACAAGCTGGGAAGGGAGGATAAAGAAGCAAGTTTGTTAACAGAGTCAAAAACAAGTCCTTCGGGTTTTCAATTAAGATAAATTTTCAGGAATAATTTAACCACGTTCTCCTTACAGTAAGAAAATAAGCACTGGCTATACTTTTCTGAGAAACCTAAGTGCTTCCCTAAAACAGATAATGTAAGAGCAGTTTCCTATTTAGTAGGGATCTCTGTGACCACGCAGAACAGCTATTAAAATTCTGTCATCTCCATCTGACACCACACCACTCTACAACATATATACACCTTAAATTTTACTTTCCCTGTGTTTATTACGAGACAAAAATCTAATAAACACAGCTCCTGGATGCATCCTTACCTGCCGCTAGGAGAGAGGGAAGTGCGACGTGCTGCACGACGTCCTCCAGGGAGAAACACTGTCGTGCTATCAGAATAGCAATGAAAGTAGCTAATGAATCATGGAATGAAAGGTCACTCACCTTCAAGAAAAATATTGACAGGTTTTAATACCTAACACCCTTTTAAGTATTATCAAAGATCAATACCTAAGAGAATGTAGGCAATACCAATAAGACCTCAAATCCCAACGTTAACCAGCAGACAGAAATGATAATGTCTCATGATTAACATGAAGGCCCATTGCTACTTTCTAAATCAAAGCTTGAGGTTTACCCACATCCAAATGGTGTAAGAAGATACTTGGCTTTAACTTTTGCACATGCAATTGAAAAGCTCTACAACAAAAAAAGCAAAATAAAAAAAATCACTAAAAGTATAATTAGTACTTTTGGCAGAATGCAATATGATATGTCATTTAATGGTAAGACCGCTAGAAAGCAGAATAAACAAGGACAGTCCCTCTAGTGGAAAAACAAGGCCTATTAATATTATCAAGTTCCATTTTGCAAAAAACTGGCTGGAATTCTTTAATGTGATTAAATCAGTTTTACAAACAACTCTGAAAGTTTACAATTGACTCCTAAATTTAAAAAGAGAACAAACAGAAGAAGGTAAATAATTCAGTCACAGGGAAAGGTAGGGAAATCTCTACCTTTATAGCTCTCACAAGACATTGGCAGAAAACAGTAAGAAATGACTACTGTCATAGTAGCCCTCATTCTGACTGCCAGAGACTATGGCTAGCAATTTACAATTTACAAAAATCACCTCATCTAACACAACAACAGCATAGGGCTCACACTATTATGAATTCTGTGTTAACAGATGTTAACAGATGAGGAATTAAGGCAGAAGAGCAACCAAGAGATAAGGAACTAAAAGATAAAAACTTGGGTCTTTTCTGTCTGGAAAAAAAAATGTCACCACAAATGAATTTGATGTGTATAAAATCTTTACCCACAAAATGGAGATAAGAAGATAAGACTGTCCACCCAGTCCCAAGAAGGGGAAACTAGGGAATAAATCATAAATTGAGAAACAACTTTAAAAAATGTATCACTCTTTATTATAAAATAAAATAGTATGGGAAACAGATTACTCCAAGAAGTGATAATAGGGAGAAAAAAAAGATTTTTTAAAAAATCAAGACTTCTTTTTAAAGAAATTCACACATCATGGATGTAACCTGCTATTTGAGGAAATCAGAGCTATATAGGGGGTAAGATACTATAACTCTTCATCACTGTCCAAACACAACCACTAAGATTGCAAACTGTGTAAGTCTACTCTTGAGCTTTCTTACATAACACACACACAAAAAATCCATATTCGATAGAATATACACTGGTTCTCTTCAAATTGTACAACAGTTATCTCCTTTGCAATGAAGAATCCAACCCATGTGGTTAAAACAAAGACCTGAAGAGATCATCCATACATTTTTTTAAAAGCCTCAGAAAAATGAAACAAGGAAACTCTTAGTACCACTGCTACAGATTAATCCATCTATTTTGATTTTTTTTTCATTTATTAAATTCTCAGCAACTATATTGTGGTTTACTTCTTTTAGACAAAGAGTATTTTACAATATTGCAGTTGAGTCAATTAGAAAATTTAAAAAAAGATTACCTACTAGCTAAATTCTTAATTGCAGTTTTAAATGAAAAAGAAAACTTACATCTACAGTGCAAAGTACATCATTAAACCCCCACACGTGATTTGAAGAACAACAAAGAGCCTTCAGCACCCCCAGCCACTCTGAACTAAGAACTGTACAGCAAGCAGTCAGCTCAGAGGAGAAATTGGCTATGTCGTTAATCCTAGAAAAGAAAGAGAAAAGACAGTAACCTTGTACAAAAGAGAAATGGTCATCAGAGATATATGTATTGAATATATATTTCACTATCATAGAACAAATCGTTCATTTTCTTAGATCTAAGGACACAGTACTCCCTTGTCAAGTAACCTACATAGAACCTTAGGCAAAACAAAAATAAATGGTTTCAAATATTTTCTAATAACTAATGCTGTTAACAATAATCAGTACATATGTGAATTAGCCTATTTTCAGTTCCATGAACAAATATGATCTGTAAATTTACATTTTAAAGGCTTCAAAAATTAAAGAGACTATTTAGTGTAAGTAGGTCCAAATATGGTTTTTCAAAATATAAGCATCTTGTAAATTGTATTTTTATTACATGTTTCTGAAAATAGATTCTATTACTTATAGTCCATATCTAAAATGTCCTATGCCAAAACAGTAAGCCAGAAAGCACTGTCTCAGGTTATGAAAAGCAGAAGGTAAACTCAGGAATAAAAGAAAATGGGGGTCGGGGGTAATGATAGCCAAATGTGAGCTCAGACAATTACTAAAGACATTAATTTCACAGGGTTATCAAGGCAACGGCCCTTATAAGCCATCTTACCTTCCAGCATCCTGATGGCCCATACATACATTCATGAGGGTATTGCAGACAAAGCTGTAGCGATTGGCAGCATTGTCACTAAGGATTTTGCCCAGCATTGAGTAGTTGATGCTTCGGGCTGAGGGATTCTCAATAAAATCCATCATGAAGTCTGGATCCCATCGCAGGTTGGAATTTGCAGGCATCACATTATTGTATATGGTTTGTTTTACTTTTGAACAGGCACTACTGAGGTTACAAGAAGAAAAGTTAAAAAAGAAAAAATAACTAGAACAGCAAGAAAATTATTTCACTTAAGGACATATTAAATTACTGCAACTATACTACATTCCTAGAAAAGATTCACACTATGAGTTCTTAATTTCAACATTTTAAAAATTAGCATTGGGCACAGAGCCTGGAATGTAGTAAGTGCTCAATGAATAGTAGCTGAATGGACAGGAAAAACAAAGCAAGAATATGACATTTGGTTACTAATTATTATTTTCTAAATCTTTTCTATATTTTACATGCTCTAAACATCAAAGAATTTACTAAGGTTTCCAAAAGCTCTCTTAAGGGTAACTGCAAAGCATTATTACTTAAGAATAAAAGGGGATTCGATTACACATGAGGAAGTTTGGTGTGTAGTGCTAACTGCATATTCTGAAAAGCTACTCCTCTAGGTACACATGTTCACATGCCAAGGCCACCATGAGCACTGTGGCACAGCTGTGGAAGGAAGGCCACACTCCTTCAGGAGCTTGCATCCTACTAGTGGGATATAAATAATACACAAATTCTAGAGAGTGAACAAACGATTATGTCATTCCTAAAAACCTACTATGCTGTGTTTCTCAGCAGCATTAATAAACTTTAAAGTCTTATTTATCATATAAAAACATTTCATGTTTCAGTGAGCTACATCTGAACAGATATAGAGCATTAGAAGTATAAAGAGAATTGGAAAGTATGTCTTCCAATGTTTATCTATGGATAAGACTGAGGATCATCTTATTTCAAATATCAGATTCCATACAAACTAAGTTATTCATACCCACTTTGTGAGCAAATCTATAAGTAACATTCATCTTCTATATTTAAGACTCTTTTCTGCTATGCAGCAGAAAATCTACTTTTTTAAAAAAGATTTTTGGGTGGCAAACGTATTTATGGTTAGAGTGCTACTTGATCTCTTTTGTAACCTCATATTCTTTTGCACCTATCTAAACAGGAGTCAGGAATGAGTCTTTCAAAATTGGAAAAACATACTCATTCTTTATCCTAGATCAGTGCCATGGCTAACAGCTTTAAGAAAACAGATTGTTCAGCTCAGTGTTTACTACAATGTAACTTCAATCATCCTCTTTCAGAAGCATTCCTGCCATGTTTGTTAAAAAAACAGATTCCTAAGTCTCACTGTGAGCACAATGAATCTGTATGTTTAACAAGCTCTCCCTGGTGACAAATAATGCCTGGAAAGCAGTGGTCTCATGCAGAAGACTAAAATAACCCACTAAACACAACAGTTACAATCTTCTATATCCATTATCTTTCTAAACAGGCAATTTACATAAAAATTTCTCAGCTATCCCTGAGGGATTTAAGTTTCGAATCTGAAGGCATTACATTTTCAAAATGATGGCCATATTATGGTCCCAAGGGCTTTTAGTCTATTTTTTTCTTGCACATGTCACACTTACTACTCAACTTTTCATTCATTCTCAGTAATAAATCTTAACTTGTTTCACTTTCTCACTAAATGAAATATAAACTTTGCTCCTTCCAGTTCCCACCCAGACATACTGTTGGTTTCCTCATACAACAGACATACTGTTGGTTTCCTCTGACTCTTCATACACACTCTTCATACACACAATCTTTAGTGTTTAAAAACCTAGCAATTCTGTTTTCTTTCTCAATTTTTATGAGCTCCTCCCCACTTTTCCTTCAGTATGTAAACTTGTCCAGAGTGCCTGTTTCCAACTGTGTTGCATAGTTGTCCGAATGCTGCAGCTTATGGGGACATCTTCTCATACTTTATTTCTAGTCCTATTGTCTCATTTATTGCACTCTTTCTATATGACAGTCAAGCCAACGACTCAAACATTTTCTTTCTGCAAGTACATATATCAGAAAAGCCTGGTAAGGCAATTAAAGCAACATATATATTAAGGCCAAAAGGACTTGTGTTCAAATCAAGCCTTCACCAAGCATTATGATCAGGAACATCGTTAATAGGAAAAGTCATTTCTACTTCCTGGGATGGTTGTGAGGATTTAAGATCTGGTCAACACAGCACCTAGTACAGAGCATAACTCAAGCAGTCATAGACATGTATTCTGGTTTGGGACAACAATACCCCCAAAGGCTCGTGAGTTCAGAGGTGGGGTTTTCGTTCATGGGAGCACCACTATCATCAGGGCATTAGCTGAATGTGCTGTTAGGAGGTGGGGGCTAAGGAAGGAAGCAGATCACAGGGAGCATAATCTGGAACACTATATTCTTATCTCTGGCCCCTTCTTCTTTCTCTGGCTCTCTCCTCTCTCTGCTTTCTGGATGCTATGAGGTGAGCAAACTTCCTCTGCCATGCCCTTCCCTCATGACATTTTTCTCCCTTCAAGTCAACTTACCATGGACTAAAGCCTTGGAAACACTGAGCCAAACTAATCCTTCTCTCTTTTAAGTTTTTTATCTCAAGTATTTGTCACAGAGGTGATAATCTGACTAATATAATGTGATCAGTGCTACACTTCCCCAGTATCCGTCTCACACAACTTAATACAAGATGTTTCAGAAAAAAATATTAAAATAATTGTTAGTCCAGTAACAGAAATATATCTGAGCATGTAGCTTGTTTGTCCATTTTTTCCTAATTCCAAACTAAAAAATCCCTTCAAGATATACCAAGAAACCAGGTGTAGTGGCACTTACATGTAGTCCCAGCTACTAGTGAGGCTGAGATGAGAGAATTGCTATAGCCCAGGAGTTCAAGCCCAGCCTGGGCAACAGAGGGTGACTATGTCTCAAAACAGTGACATCCCAAGAAAGCTGCATTTGTCTTCTTTTTGGGGGGGGGGGGGCGGTTGTTTAGACAGTGCACTTGTAATATGTTACTCTACTAATCCTGACTCCTCACTTCATCTGTGGTGTCCTAAATCTCTACACACTACATGCACATTACTTAAATTAGCCTATTTATCTTACTTGTACTGCACTCCAAGAGCAGGAGGGGTTAAAAAAAGCTACTAGTGCTATCTTCGGAAGTTCGCCACTAAAAATAGGGCTGTGGTAAATGCCACATAATGAGAAACCTCTCTGAAAAAACATAAACCAAAACTGAAAGCTCTATGTAGCGTAACGGAAGTATTTATTACATCATTTCTGTGGAAAAGGGTTTCCTAAGACTCCCCCAAGTAGTTTATAAAGGATCATTTTAAAACCTAACCCATTACATGGTAACATATTTTCATCTTTTCTTTATCAGTACTGTTAAAAATATGATTTTTCTTCTATATATCTTTCACTCATTCAACTTGTCCACAAATAAGTGTTTTGGGCCAAAAAGTAAAATCTCTATAGTGCCTACTAAGAGTTGCATACTCTTCAAGATACTAGGATGTGGTAGTAAAGAAAACAGAAAATGTTTCTGCTCTTGTGAAGCTTACATTACAGGGGGAGCTAGGCCATCAATAAAAATTCATATATTGGAAGTGGCAAATATTAAGGTTGAGAGAATGACCAAAAAGGGGATTGCTGTTTAATATAAGGTGGTAAGAGAGACAAAGTTGTGAATGAAGGGTAGAAGTGAACACACAAGTATCTGTAGAAAGTACACAAGTAAGGCAAAAGCAAATGTACAAGCCCAAGGTAAGAGCATTCATAGAGTGTTTGAGTGTTTCAGGACCAGGAAGGAGGTCTACATGGCCAGAACCAAGTTCACAGAGGAAATAAGGTGAAAGAGTGATCTTACAGATAATAAAAGCTAAGCTATTTAGATTTTATAGTGATTAGAAGGAATGCCAAGGAACTCATCTTTGAGTCTAAAAGACAATCTTACTGGACAGTATATTAATATGCCCAAAAGAGTCAAGCACACAAGCAGAGCCACTAGTTAGGATGACTCTGAAATTGCCCAAGCAAGAGATGACCATGATGACAATGATGAGGATGTCAGACAGTGGTTATATTCTTGATATAGTTGGAAGGAAGAGCTCACAGGATTTAAAAGCAAACGATACGAAGTATGGGAGAGCAAAGGAAACTATAATTCATCACTCTCCTTTTCCTTCTGAATTCCAAATTTCTTATGCCAAACATTATCTACTATCTACATTATCTACATTATCTACATTATCTACATTATCCTACTCCTTTATTTATAATTAATAATCTAAAATTCCTCAAAATAACAATTAAATAAGTATTTATGTTTCAGCACTTGTGCTCCCTGTAAAGGTAACAAGTGCTAAGATAAAAAGAATGTCAGTTGGGGATGCCACTTGAAACAGACACAGATGAAGTGAAGTAAGCATGCAAATAGCTCTGAAAGAATGTTCCAAAATACAGAAGAATGGGAAAAATACAGAGTTATTTCTCTCAAGTTCAGCTCAAAATTGTAATCGCAGCTAAACACAGTAATATGTAGAAGGAAGTTACAGTTACTGCAAAAGGTAATTCAATATGAATTCTGGATAAAGGACTAAAAATCTAAAAATCTTTTATAGAAATATAATTTTCTGGAATCATTTTAAACAAAATGCTTAAGCAAAAAGAATTACTAAAATGCATAACCCAATAACAATACCATCTATAAAGTCAAAGACAACAAATAAGACAACTACAGACTTCACAGTATCTTATAATTAACTCATGTATATATCTGTTACACCAGGAAACATTAGACAGTATTTATCAAATTGGATATAAATCAAATAGACTCAGTAATATAAAGCAGGTTGCCTTGCATTTAATGTATGTTGGTTTAATGTTATTTAAAGGTGATACTGGTCATTTTTTAAAAAGCTCATCCACACGTGAAAATGTAATCTGTTAAACACTGAATTCTTTTTAAGAGAGGGGAAAAAAGCACAGTTTGAAAAAGTTGTGAAGAACTCCATGAGGCCCAATAGAGGGAAGCCATCAGGCAAGGCAAGAAACTAAAGGGGAAGGGGGAAAAATAAAAAAATAAAAGAGCCAACAACAGTAAAACATCATGACAAGGATGAGTCAGTACCTATCAATTATAACCATCAAAAAAAATTATAACCATCAATGTTAATGGCCTCAATTCACCAATCAAAAGAAACAGACTGGCAGAATGGATTAAGAGGCAAAATCCAGCAATATGCTGTATACAAGAAACACACCTAACTCAAAAGGAAATTCACAGACTAAAAGTAAAAGGATGGAAAACAGTTCTCCACATGACAGGATCCTGGAAAAAAGCAGGGGTAGCAATCTTATTTGCAGACAAAGTAGATTTCAAACCAAAACTAATTGAGAGACAAAGATGGTCACTGGAAGGGAACAATCCAAGAAGAAGAGATGAAAATCATAAATAT